TTTACCTTCTTACTTTTTATTATTGGCCAACTGCAACTTATATAACAAAACAAATAATGATAGTCATGATCAAGCTCTGTCGAACTCAAACCAATGGCATCTGAAATTGCTCCTTCAAGTTTTGGCATGGCTTGTCGCACTGATAAAACCCATCGACAACAACGAAACTACTTTCTTGGCAGCTTACTCACTGGACTCACAATTTCCCCTTTTGTTTCAATTATTCTTGTCTTATCTTGGTGAGTTCAGCTCTCCAAACTCGGCGAAAAGTGGAAAATCGAAGGAGGGCAGAGCTCAAGACGACAAGGGAAGTGTTATGTTGGCTTTTAATTGAATTTTGAAACCGCATAACTGAAATCGCAAAGCCAGCCAAATCTTGACCTCCGCCTTATTTCTCACTTCCATTCGAAAGGCAATAAAAGTGTTGTAAAAATTTCGCCAAAGTATTTTGTGCTAAGCAGTTGGTTATTTGATTGGGTCAAAATCGAACTTATTGATACCCTCTGAAATTTGAACTACTTTAAAGGTGGAAAATAAATACAATAATTTCACATGTTTTAAAATAGATTTAAATAAATGTATTATCACTGTTAAGAGCTACCAAATTGTAGCAATGCTGTTGGCTTTTAATGTTCTTTTAAAATTAGAACTTATTTTAATAATTCATAATAAAAATAATTCTAATAATCCTATTGGTTTTTTATATAATATTAATTTTATAACTTCTTGAAATTACTAATTACATATGTAAAAGACTATTGATTTTTTAAAACTCCAACTGACATTGGAAGAAACGAGTATATCCCTTTTTTATAGTTCTATACCCCTTCGAGGAGCCTTAGTTTTTAGTGGCTCTGGAGGGAAGCTGCCTGGCAGATTACACGCGATTGCCACTTGGCGATAACGCTGCCAACTCAGGAACACCCAACCCCAGTTTTTTGCCCTCCCATTTTGCCCGTATGGCCCCGGTCAATTAGTTAGCGCATTAAAGGGGATTCCCGGGCTTTCGACCAACGGAGGCAGGAGTTCGACTGGCCGGTCAAGGAATTTATTGGGCTCCCAAGTCCAAGTCGGTTATCGCTGTAACCAGCCGGCTGGATGGGGGTCTCGAGAACCATTCTAGGATCGGCACGACTCCAGTTGAGTCGTAATTGACTTGTTGCCAAGTAATCGTTGCCTGTTAACTGCTGTTGTCAGGGGATTATCTACACTTCACTTCAAATCGACTGTTCCTCGCCAGCATCCTGGGCTTCCACACACAATAAACCAACACACACACACATAGTTACGTTGGAACAATTTTAGTCAAAGTTCAGTGAAGTGCATAAAAAGTGAAAAACAATAAACATCATCGGGCTGGATTTCCTTGGGGGAGTGAGATGCGCAAGGGTGGGCTAATAATTTAAATAGATTTTAATTGGAATCTGGGTGTCTTTTGGGTTCCTCTTCTTTCCTTTGAAAAATAACAATCTAATTGGTGTTTGCCTTTTTATATTTTCGGAAGAGGAAGTAAATTTGCAATATTGCTTCTCAGCTTGGTAAATTTTAATACCATTTATATGAGATAAATAAAATAATAATTATTCTATTACTAGCAAAGGTATTATATTTTATACACAGGTTAACTTACCATCTTACTTTTGAATTTCGTTATTTCAAATAATTGACACAAATAAATATTAATTTGTATCTAATATAGAGTTTTATAAACTTTGTTTCAAGATGCAAAACGAACTTTGTTTCAAGATGCAAAACGAAGTTTTTCCGAAAGTGAACTAATAAACCGCATTTACATCTTGTTGGCCATTTAGTTAACTGCGATCACAGATGTATGAAAACCTCTCTCCCCTCATTAAATCCCCAGTGCTCTCCGGCTAATTGGTTCTGCAATGGTCGAGTGTCCTAGGATATTTACCTGCTCCTCGGGCCATCCAACCATCCATCCATCATCCCCGGGATGCTCAATCTCTGTCTGGAACTGGGAGCTGCGAGCTGGGGCTCCGGAAGTGTGGCCGCAGCAATCAACGCGCCAAGTTGCAAGCCCGCTCATCCCGTCCTTCTTACACTGGCGGCCATTTTGGGAGCTTAACCATAAATGTTGCATTTCGCTTTTAGCTGCAACCTAACGATGTGTGTGTGTGTGAGTGTGGCAACCGATGGAGGAGGGATTAGGGAGCGGGGAAGGGGTGATTGCAGAGTTCGAGGATGAGGCTTACCAGCAATTTGGGTTGGCTTCCCCATCCCCCAGTCGCCTCCACTCAACGGTGAGCTGGTAACCATGCAACATCTGGCCACCCTTTTTACACGTGCCTCGGCTGCACCGCGTCCTTCAGCCAACCGCTCATCTCCGGCTAATTCTCTATGCATTTCAGTGCCCCAACTCTGGAAGAATCCACCTGCCATTATGGCCCCGATCACACACGCAACCCCACCGCCCTCCTTCTCTTTGGCCGGAGATGTGGTCTATTTGAATCTTCCACTTGTTGGCGTTCAGTCGGGTATTGGCATTCTTCGAGTGGGAAATAATTTACATTGCCCAGGACCAATTCACAGCAGTTTCTGGAATCGAACGTATACCTTCAGGCTTAAGATTTCAATTAAACAGTCATGAGATTATTCACATAAAATATAATTGCATTGAATTCGAAGTCTGAATTAAATTTATGTATAATATGTAGATATATATAATGATTTCTAATATATCCATTCAAAAATTATGTTGTCGGATAACAAAATATTTGGCGTAAAAATTTGATTTTATCGAATCCATTGCGAATCTCCATAGCCAATCGGTTAACAAACTGTGCATATATAAAGCAGCTAATCTGAAAGATTTATTTAATCCAAAGCAACGGTTAAAATGATTTTCGGTAAGTAGGACATAATTTTGTACTCAAGAATAAAATACATAATTAGTTTTGGCAGGTCTTTTCTTCTTGGTCTTAGGAGCTTCTGGCCACTTTACGGATGATTTGTACCTACAACTAGCAAGGAATCATTCTCACGAAAATGTTATTTCCTCGCCCCTGTCGGTTGAAATTGCCATTGCCATGACCTATTTGGCAGCTGGAGGGAAGACAGCCTGGGAAATCGAAAACACTCTTAAACTGCCCTCGGATAGAAAGGCGGTGGCTGAAAAATACAATGAGTTAATCGAAAACATCGAAGGACGCGAAAAAGTAGCCACTCTTTACCTGGCGAACCGCATATATGTCGCCGATAGATTCCGTATTAATCCGGGGTATAATGAGATGGTTAGGGATTCCTTCAAGGCAGAAGCGAAATCCCTGAACGTAAACGATCGCTTCCAGGCGGCAGCGATTGTAAACAAGTGGGTAAATGAAACCACGCGCGGAAAGATTGATAAATTAGTTACCAAAGATGATGTGTCAGGTGATCTAGTGGCGATGCTCTTAAACGCAATTTACTTTAAAGGCCAATGGCAGTATAAGTTTAACCCCGTCAAAACTAAGAAGGAAGATTTCCGAGTATCTGACCAAAAACGAGTTCCTGTCGAGATGATGAGACAATTAGCAGACTTAAGATACGGATATGTAAGATCATTAGATGTACAAGTCGTCGAGCTTCCCTTTCTAAACTCAAGCCTCAACATGGTCATCTATTTACCCAAAAAAGTGGATGGACTCAAAGCACTGGAGGAACAATTCTCGGGATTATCGGTTTTCCTAAGAGAGAGAGAAGTTTTTCTGAAGCTCCCCAAATTCAAAATCGAATTCACCAAAGAACTAAGCGATATTCTTAAAAATGTGGGTGTGCTTTGGTAAATACGAGAATGTCTTACTAATCTATTCCTACAGATGGGCATCAAAAAAGCATTTGAGGTTGATGCGGACTTTAAGGACTTAGTGAATCAGGACGGCGTATATATCAGCACAGTCAAGCAAAAGGCCTTCATAGAGGTCAATGAAGAAGGTGCCGAGGCAGCGGCTGTAACAGGTATTTTTTAATTTGTTCAACAAATTAGTTTTTAACTTAAAATTTTTAATAACAGAAGTTGGAGGCATCGGCTTGAGCGTCCGCCCAAACCCCGAAATTTTCGTTGCAGATCATCCGTTTGCCTATGTCATTCGCGATGAAAAAACAATTTACTTTCAAGGTCACTATGTTAACCCAGAGGCAAAATGAGAAGCCATTTTAAAATACAAACTGAACAGGTTAACAACCTTAAAACTTTTTCGCCTTAGTATGTTTTTTAATGGGAATATGTGAAAGGAGGCCTAATACTCCCCACAATTTGGGGTGCAGGAGAGCAGCGTCTAGCAGCAGCGAAGGCAGCTGAAGTGCGGGAGATAACGAAGACAACCATGTTGAACGGGAAATATTGGACCTCGAATTGGCACGTAGCGGGGAGAATGCGAAATAACAGTGCCGCTCTTGGCCTTGGACTCTAGCTGGCAAGTGCATCGAGATCAAACGGTAAATCGGCGGACTAACAGGAGACACCGTGGATGGATCAACGGGATATCGTTGGACATTGAAACCGATCAATCAAGCCAGCTGAAGAAGGATAACGGGACTAGAATGAACAATAAAAGAAAGAAGAAGGAATAATGGAGTGAGAGCCAATTAAAACCAATTGCCGCTGCCAACAGGATACCGATCGCAAAGTCGAGACCCTCCTTGGCCCTCCTCCTCTTTGGCCGGAGATGTGGTCCATTCGAATCTTCCACTCGTTGGCGTTCAGTCGGGTATTGGCATTCTTCGAGGCCACCTGCCCGGTGGGAAACAATTTACATTGCCCAGGACCAATTCACAGCAGTTGCTGGAATCGAACGTATACCTTCAGGCTTAAGATTTCAATTAAACATTCATGAGATTATGCAATTCACACATAATATACATAATTGCATTGAATTCGAAGTCTGAATTAAATTTATGTATAATTTACATAATGTTTTTTACTATATCCATTTAAAAATAATGTTGTCGGATAACAAAATATTTGGCGTAATAAATTTGATTTTATCGAATCCATTTCGAATCTCCATAGCCAATCGGTTAACAAACTGTGCATATATAAAGCAGCTAATCTGAAAGATTTATTTAATCCAAAGCAACGGTTAAAATGATTTTCGGTAAGTAGGACATAATTTTGTACTCAAGAATAAAATACATAATTAGTTTTGGCAGGTCTTTTCTTCTTGGTCTTAGGAGCGTCTGGCCACTTTACGGATGATTTGTACCTACAACTAGCAAGGAATCATTCTCACGAAAATGTTATTTCCTCGCCCCTGTCGGTTGAAATTGCCATTGCCATGACCTATTTGGCAGCTGGGGGGGAAACAGCCCAGGAAATCGAAAAAACTCTTAAACTGCCCTCGGATAGGAAGGTGGTGGCTAAAAAATACAAGGAGTTACTCGAAAACATCGAAGGACGGGAAAAAGTAGCTACTCTTTACCTGGCGAACCGTATATATGTCGTCGATAAATACCGTATTAATCCGGGGTATAATGAGATGGTTAAGGATTCCTTCAAGGCAGAAGCAAAATCCCTGAACGTAAACGATCCCTCTCGGGCGGCAGCCATTGTAAACAACTGGGTAAATGAAACTACTCGCGGAAAGATTGATAAATTAGTTACCGAGGATGATGTGTCAAATGATCTAGTGGCGATGCTCCTTAACGCAATTTACTTTAAAGGCCAATGGCAGTATAAGTTTAACCCCGACGAAACTAAGAAGGAAGATTTCCGAGTATCTGACCAAAAACGAGTTCCTGTCGAGATGATGAATCTAGAGACTCACTTAAGATACGATTATGTAGAATCATTAGATGTACAAGTCGTCGAGCTTCCCTTTCTCAACTCAAGCCTCAACATGGTCATCTATTTACCCAAAAAAGTGGAAGGCCTTAAAGCACTGGAGGAACAAATCTCGGGATTTTCGGTTTCCCTAATAAAGACAAAAGTTTTTCTGAAGCTCCCCAAATTCAAAATCGAATTCACCAAAGAACTAAGCGATATTCTTCAAAATGTGGGTGTGCTTTGGTAAATACGAGAATGTCTTACTAATCTATTCCTACAGATGGGCATCAAAAAAGCATTTGAGGAAGATGCAGCGAACTTTACTGACTTAGTGAATAAGGACGGCGTATATATCAGCAAAGTCAAGCAAAAGGCCTTCATAGAGGTCAATGAAGAAGGTGCCGAGGCAGCGGCTGTTACAGGTATTTTTTAGTTTGTTCAACAAATCAAAGTTTCTAACTTAACATTTTCAATAACAGTAGCTGAAACCAGTATGTATATAAGCATGCCCCTACCCTCTGAAAGATTCGTTGCAGATCATCCGTTTGCCTATGTCATTCGTGATGAGAATACCATTTACTTTCAAGGTCACTATGTTAACCCAGAGGCAAAATGAGAAGCCACTTTAAAATAAAAATTCGATAGGTTGACAAACCTTTCGCTTTAGTATATTTTTAATGGGAATATGTGAATGGAGGCTTAATACTCCCCACAATTCGAGGTGCAGGAGAGCAGCGCCTAGCTACAGCGGAGGAGGCTGAAGTGCGGGAGATAACGAAGACAACCATGTTGAACGGGAAATATTGGACCTCGAATTGGCACGTAGCGGGGAGAATGCGAAATAACGGTGCCGCTCTGAAGCTTGGACTCTAGCTGGCAAGTGCATCGAGATCAAACGGTAAATCGGCGGACAAACAGGAGACACCGTTGATCAACGGGACACATATTATAATTTAGGCCAGAAGTCTGCAACGCAGTGAAGGATACACCTCATGTCATTTTATTGAAATTATTTATATATTTAAATAATAAGCAGTTGATAAATTCAAATTCCGAGTTGAATTCGTTTTCAGAAAGAAAAATTTGTCTACGATGTATATCTTAAAATTTGGCATAAACATATTTGGTTTTGTCGAATCCGTTGCGAATCTCCATAGCCAATCGGTTACCAAACAGTGCATATATAAGCCAGGTTATATTGGTTTATTTAATTCAAAACAGCTTTTAAAATGATTTTCGGTAAGTATCAGCAAATTTTGTACTTAAGAATTAAATAATTTGTTTTGGCAGGTCTGTTCTTCTTGGTCTTAGGAGCGTCTGGCCACTTTACGGATGATTTTTACCTACAACTAGCAAGGAATCATTCTCACGAAAATGTTATTTCCTCGCCACTGTCGGTTGAAATTGCCATTGCCATGACCTATTTGGCAGCTGGAGGGAAGACAGCCTGGGAAATCGAAAACACTCTTAAACTGCCCTCGGATAGAAAGGCGGTGGCTGAAAAATACAATGAGTTAATCGAAAACATCGAAGGACGCGAAAAAGTAGCTACTCTTTACCTGGCGAACCGCATATATGTCGTTGATAATTACCGTATTAATCCGGGGTATAATGAGATGGTTAGGGAATCCTTCAAGGCAGAAGCGAAATCCCTGAACGTAAACGATCCCTCCCAGGCGGCAGCGATTGTAAACAAGTGGGTAAATGAAACTACTCGCAGAAAGATTGATAAATTAGTTACCGAGGATGATGTGTCAAGTAGTCTAGTGATGCTCCTAAACGCGATTTACTTTAAAGGCCAATGGCAGTATAAGTTTGACCCCGGCAAAACACAGAAGGAAGATTTCCGAGTATCTGACCAAAAACGAGTTCCTGTCGAGATGATGAATCTAAAGGCTGTCTTAAGATACGGATTTGAAGAATCATTGGATGTACAAGTCGTCGAACTTCCCTTTCAAAATTCAAGCCTCAACATGGTCATATATTTACCCAAAAAAGTGGATGGCCTCAAAGCACTGGAGGAACAAATCTCGGGATTAACGGTTTCCCTAAGGGAAAGAAAAGTTGTTCTGAAGCTGCCTAAATTCAAAATCGAATTCACCAAAGAACTAAGTGATATTCTTCGGAACGTGGGTTTTCTTCGGCAAATGCGGTATTGTTATACTAATCTATACTTATAGATGGGCATCAGAGAAGCATTTGAGCTAATTGCGGACTTTAAAGACTTAGTGGATCAGGAAGGCATATACATCAGCAAAGTCAAGCAAAAGGCCTTCATAGAGGTCAATGAAGAAGGTGCCGAGGCAGCAGCTGCAACAGGTATTTTTTAGTTTGCTCAGCAGCTTAAAGCCAACTAACTTAACATTTAAAATAGTTGCCGTTGGAGTTATGAAGTCTTTTAAACTGGGATTCGTCTTGTTCGAGGCCGATCATCCATTTGCCTTTGTCATTCGCGATGAGAAAACCGTTTACTTTCAAGGACACTTTGTTAACCCTGAAGGGAAATGAGAAACCATTTTTAAATAAAAATGCAATAGGCTTATATATACATGATTTTAATAATTTTATGCCTTGTGACATTAATGAAACTGATTTCGTAATTTAAGAATCGTGACAAATTCTATCTTAAAAATTCTACACATAATGTTTGTTTTGGTGAAAAAAAGTGGAGCTGTGTTTTGGGAATATTAATTTTATGTAGATATTTAACTTCTTCAATGCCAGCTGTAACCTTTATTTTTATTTTTTTTTTTGAAAAGTTAGAAATTTGGGGCTGAAATGAAAACACCTTCCACAAGGGTATAAAAATGATTGCAGGTTGAAAATTTTCTGAATAGGGAATACATTCAGCAGTGAGAGATTCTCAGCTTTTACCTTTTGACCTTTCGACTGTTTCCTATTATGCGGCCATTTCACACACGCACACATTGATGCATTAATGCCCCACACACACACACACATACGTTCACAACTAACTGACAGCTTGTTTCGTTTTTCTTCCTCCTTCGGTTTTTTTTCGACCATTCAATGAGCTTTTAAGAGCGCTAATTAAAAATGTGGCAAGTGTAACCACTGCAGACGCCCCCCTTCCCATACGAGCCGCTTTTCATGCCATTAAGGCCTGGCCTGAACGGATCCCACATAATGTGGCTGTCGTCTCGCTTTCTATTGGCCGCTCTTGAGCGTTTTGCGTCTCTGGGAGAGCGCAATTAACGCCTTTACTCTTGGCATTGGCAGCCATGGAAAAACCGAAGGAAAACCTAGCAAAACCGCACCATCCACCCAACCCCCCACCTCCCCCTTCCCTTGGAGCCCCTGTGGTTATTGCGGCTTTGTTTGTGTGGAAAGCGTTTTTAGATTGCATATTTATTAAAATGCAGCAAAAGTTGCAGCACATGAAAGCACAAACGCAAGACGAACGAAGCTAAAATGTAATAATTCTTGTTGGGATCCTTTCCCTTTCCCTTTACCTCCCCTCCCGCCCCCTCACTTCGTGCCTCTTAGGTTTTCCCAGCTATGCATTTCCGTAAGCAGCTTTTGTCCGCAGGTGTTTGCTATTGTGTTGGCTCAACGCTTAACGCTCGATGGAAAGCTATGCGATGGGGGTAAGGCACTCAGAGAAATGGGGGCCCATTAGCGGAAGTACCATTCTAGTTTTGTAAAAAAGAATTCTGCTTTAGAGGTTAATATAAAAATATTGTTTATTAAGTTAATTACACAAAATTTATATTGATAAAGTTCGTAAAAGTTTCAAGTAAAGTTTATCAAAAGGCATTTCAATTTCAATTGTTTTTATTAACATGAATATTAACTAATATAAGGTTTATTGAATTAACCCCTTTGCATATGGAATTAAAAAAAGTGATTTGTAATTTATTATTTTTCTTCAGTGCATCTGGCTAAATGAGCGAGCGTTCATTCTGTTGCCAAGGATTTTTCAAGACCAAGCTGCTTATTATCGCGAAAAAAGAAATAATAAAAATGAGCGGCAACTAATAAGCTTATGGCTGTGCAACCTGGAATCGCCCCACCAGCCAGCCAGCCAGCCATCATCATCCTTGCCGGTTTCTGCTAATTGTGAGCTAATTCTAATTATCAGCAACACATTCGGGGAGGTCCTGGCTCTCGTTTTGGTCCTGCTTTTGGTTCCGGCTCCTCTGCTCCTGTCCCGCCGGCTAACGAGTGTTTATTAATGGCGCTAATGGCAAGCGACGCCTTTGATGAGCGTAAAATGCTTAATCACACAGATCCTGGCCGTGCTTTCTGCTCCTCTTTCTCCTTTTCAGGCCACGCAATTAGCGCACAAATATTTCCGCATACATTTCGCTATATATACATACATATTCCTATTTTTTCCTTGTACTTCTGCTGCCTTTCCGTTTTGGCCATAAAAATGCTCAACCGAATTGTAGTAATTACAACAATTTGCATAAGGGCGGGACAAAAAGGAAAGAGGGCGGAAATCAAAAAGCGCAAAGCGCCGAGCCAAGCTCACAGAAGTATGCTACGCATTTTGCAATTTATTCGGGCAGACAAACGGGGAAGGACAACCCAAAAAAATGCCAAAAAAAAAAGGAACCTAAGAGCGTGCTGAGAGAAAACGCTAATTATGTAATATGAAAATGCGAGGACAACGTTGAATTATTTGCATATGGTAAGCAGCAGCACGGGACAAAATAGAACCCTTTTTTGTTGAGATCCTTTTTGGGTTATTTTTATGCTGTGTTTTTTAGCCATTATCAAATTCAATTAACACTCCGCATGCGGCAAGGAATTTTTTCATATTTATTACCAATTGCCGTGGCGAATCAAAAACCGCACGCAAATCAAATCCGCATTCAATTCTGGCCTACTTCTGCTGCAGTTGAAATTTCAATTAGGCCAGCAAATTCACAATTGAATAAACTCAAAAACCTGAAAACCCAGCAAAGCTTCATGTCGATTAGTGCAACAAAGTGCAACAACCGAGCGGAAGACACAAACACGATTGTGAAAATCATAAATTCTGGCCATCGAAGGTGGAAATTCGATTCTGTGTCGAGGTTTCAGGCAAGTAAATCAAATGTCCTGGAAATTGCATTCGAGTCTTTGTTTTGAACAGCAGGGGAGATAAAGGAGTGACTCACTTGAATATTAAAATTGTTCTTTTGCTAAACTTTGAACCAAAGCAGATTGGCAAAAAATTAAATGTTTTATACGAATGATTAATTTATATGTAAAATGCACAAGATATAAACTTATGTTTTGATTGCTTACTAAACTAAGAATAAAGTGGCTTATTGCTATTTTATATAGATTTCTTAAATTATTACCTTTTATTTAAATTTATTCATTTAAACATTGTTTGCATTGAGGTTTATGCACAGCTTGCTCACCTTACTTACCCAATTTTTCCCCCAGTTTGCCATTAAAGTTGCAGGTAAACTCCCCTTTTCTCCGTGCAAACGAATCATGACATAATACCCGTGTTAATTCCCACAACGAAATACCAAAGTTATTAAAACAAAAAACAATAATAGCAGGAAACCAGGGTAAACACGAAAGTATTCCGAAAAAAAAGGGGCGAGTCGCGTTAATTTCGCATGCCCCAAAAAGTGTTCAGTGCAACGGAAACGGAAACGGGAGCGCGAAATTTCAATATGCTGCTTACGCCACTACAATTGCGAATGGCAAAAAACCAATTTCAATTTGTTAACCATTTTTTTATTCGCAATCAAATTTATTACATCGGCTGACAACAAAAGCATTGGGGAAAAGCGGAGCTTGGCCGCCGAAAAAGGAGAGAATGTGGAAAACAAATTCGCAATCGGCGCTTATTTTCTTAAAAATATACATATGGGTTCTCCTCTCCGCTTGTTTGTATGTGTGTGTGTTTTTGTTGTGCTGCAAGAGTGTGTGTGTGTGTTTGCAGGACAATTAAAACCAGGCAAACACAACAAGAGGAAGGCGGTTGGGCGGTTCTGGGAGGCGGAATAGTAGTGGGGCGGCGGGGCATCCGTGGCCCTAGTAAATGGTAATCAACGCAAATCCTCCATAGAGCACCGCACACGGATAGGCAATCAGCAGCTGTTGATGGTCCATGGAGAAGGCGGTGGCGAACAGTTTCGAGGCCGATATGGCGCACCAGAATATGGAGATGCCGCTCACAATTAGGCCGAGTGTGCCCCTGCAAGAGTGAAACGAGATACGATACCAACTCAGTCCGTATATATACGTATAGATATAGACAGCGGCGGAATCAATAAACAATGCATATGCATGAAGCACCAGCTCCAGTTGTACAGGGTGCGAAAAACACCCATTACAATCTGAGCTCCATAATCCCATGTGCAATGTTTTTTCATTCCACTTAAACAACAAAAAAATCTTTCTTTAAAATAGCCAAAGTGGATTGGTAACCTGCGAAAGAAACTGATCTTGTGATTAAAATTAAGGATTAAATAGTTACCAGTATTAAACAGTTAAATAACATAAATAGCAATTAATGTTTACTTGATTTACTTCTATATGATTTTGGTTATATTTTAAATATATTTCTTAATTTAATTGTAAGGTAGTATTTTTCTCGGTGCATCGACTTGGGATAGAGTATTCAACTGGCAGAGTGTTCATAAAAAAAGGATGAGTGTGTGGGTGTGGGCATGACTGAGCCTGTGTGCGAGTGAATGGGCAGGACAAACAAAGACAGCAGGCGCTATGCCGGCAAAAGGATGTGCAAACACGGTCCAACTACAAAGAACCCACACACACACACACACACACGCTCCCACACACAGAAAACCCAGCGGAAAATGAAAAATTGATTTCAAAGCGATATACGGAAAATGTTACCATCAACCATATGAAGAAAGTAAAATGTTTGCCAAGATTTAAGGCTAAAGAAGTAAGATACAATCTCAATAATTAAATGCTTTAAGGGTATTGTTGAGTCCTTAAATACCAGGCAACATTTTTATTAAAAATACTAATGCTCATTATTGTTTGCCTAGCACTTCTCTATAAACTTAGAAGGAAAAGAAAAAAAAGATAAGCCTTTCAGGAACTAAAATAAACATCTCAAGTATTTGACTTCAACCATCTTGCAAACATTTTAGAGCCATTACATCCGAGAATAAACCCCAATTTATTGACTTTATTCTGCCATCGAACAATATATGGTCTGCCCTTAACAAGACAAACAAAAAAAAAAAAAAAGATGGAAAAGTTTAGATTGTGAAAGCACACATACTCCAAAAGAAACCATTTCAAATATAAAACCCACTTTCGCTACTCCAGTTTAAAGTTGTAATCTTTAGAATCTTTTCCTGCTAACCCATTAAATCCGGCAGAGAAATCAATTTACGGAACCAAAACATAAATCCCCATATTCCAAAGTTCCAATTTTCGGCTACACGCACGCGTTTAATGGATTGCCTTTCTGTGGTTTCGGTGGCTCAGCTGTCACCTCCAACTCCCCTTTTCCACTTTTCCCCGTTTTTTAACCCACCACTCAACCAGTTTTCCCTTCTTTTTTTTTGTGCCCAGTCCCCGCAATCTTCGGCAGAACCTTGTTGGTTGTTGGTCACTGTGTCCTTTGCCAAGTGGCAAGTGATTTTTTGGCCCCGGACTGGACAGCTTAAATGGCCCGGCGCTAGCCTAAAAACCAATCAAAACAATACTATGTAGCGCCGGATAACTCGACTGTCTGTGTAATTTTTGCGCACTTTTGCATCACCAAACAAACTCAATTAAAAAGTCTGTCTAAAAAAAAAAAGAAACGGACAGCGGGGAATCGCAAAAATATTTACTGTAAACTTGGCTGGCATTCGCAGGGACTATATGAACATCAAAGCTACCCCCCACACACACTCGCACACCCACACACACACTCGCACACCCACAAAGTGCAAGCGCTTAAAGCCAACAAATAAAAAATGCAGGCAAACAGGCAACCAAAATGGCAATTGCACTGGGCAGTTGGACAGTTTTTTTTTTTGGTGAAAGGATGAGGAGGAGTGGCTTGAATGGAAAATTGGTGGGGTTCTCCTTCTTTTTTTTTTTTGATCTGGGACGTTGGGTGGGGCAAACAAAACGCGCTTGGTGTCGGGCAATAGTTGTTTTTTACACACACACACATCTCGAATTTGCCGCCCATCGCCACCCATGGCAGCACTTAGTTTCCCCGCGCTGCTCGGAAATTATGACGTGCCAAAGGGGCCAGGAGGTGGATCCACCACTACCACCACCTCCAGAGGAAGCGCTAAAAACTCACGCAGCATTTGCGTGTTGCTGCTCGCATGGCCGTCATAAAAAGCGTGGCGAGTGGAGCAAAAACAACAAAAAATGCCAGAAAAGAAAGCGATGGAAATGCTGGAAAGGAAGAGGATGAGGAAAGGGGGTGGAGGGGGAGAGGGAGGGGAAAGCCTGGCTAGCAAGTGCTGGACACATATTTGAAAAGGAAACTACGTGAACGAAACTCAACGGGTGGCAAAACAGGACATGGAACGTTAGACAGATGGACACAAGACTGCCAGCCAGGAGCGATTCCACCTCCTCCTCCTCCTACCACCCACTTCTCCTCCACCAGCACCACCCACTACTACACCAACAAAACCACCACCCACTCCTTCTGTTCTCAGCGCGAAAATTAAACGGCGCATAGTTGGCGTTATTTTGCTCCGTTTTTTGTCTGTCTTGCCTTGGCTTCAATGGAGTCCGAGGTCCGTGGTTCGGTCCAAAGTCCGTGGTCCGCTTTCCGTACTCTGCAGTCCGTAGTCCGTAGTCCGTTGTCCGTAGTCTGTAGTTTGGCAGTTGTGGCCCTGGAGTGCACTAAAAGCGCAAATTAAGTTGGCTACTCTTTTTTATTCGCCTCTATGTGTATGCATCGTTGGCCCAAAACTGCAACAAAATTAAAAACCTAAATTGTGCGAAAATAGGCGAGGGGAAATCAACCCCAGCGGATGGCCAGATAAAGAAAAATTAAACGCTGGCCCAGCAGGAGTTTCCAACTACAGGAAAATACATACTTGTTTGCCTTTGCAAATGAAGAGGTCAAGTTTTATCAGCCATGGTTTCCAAAATCGATGGATGGGTTTGATTAAAAGTAAATTAGGAGCAGAGAAAACTAATTTAGTTTGTTGTTTTGCATTGATAAGCGAGCTGGTTTACTTACTAGTTGGATTTAAAATAACTTCAAAAGATATTTCCTTTTTAAAAACAAAAGATATAATGTTAAGCAAACACTTTTAATTAAAAGCTATTTGCCAAAAACTTAGTTCCTATTTGCAATATCTAATTTCCACAAAGCGTGCTTAACCAGAATTCTATCGGCAACTTGGGCGCTTCCATTTTCGCAAAGGCAACTATTTCATTACGGATACATGACGATGGCCAACAGAAACCAGAGGGTGAAATCAAACAATCGAAAAACAATACCCGCAATAGCAATAATAATAACAGCCAGAAGTGATCAACTTGAATAGACGAGGAGCAGCCGGAGTCGAAGCATCAATTGGACAAATTCGAACGGACAAATTTGAGCGGCAGGGAACGGAAGGAAGGAAGCGGATCGAAAACGTGCTGCAGTCGCAGCTGGACGAGCTTAGGCAAAAGTTTGTAATTACAGCCACAAACAATGAGGATTCGACGCCGATGCATTGGCAACTTTTCAATTAAAAACATAAATATAAAGTACAATGGCTGGCTGAGGAGTGGAATGAAATGAAAGGAGCATTGGAGGAATGGAATGGAATGGAAGGAAGGGCTGATGGCTGATGAAAGCCAGCGACTTGTGTCAACAATTACTTACTGAATGGTGATTAAAATGTTGATGCCCGACAGCACCACCATGGGCAGCAGACAATAGCCGAGCACCGAGGCCACCGCCCCAAAGGTCACCTGCGACCGGCTGACCATCAGGGATAAGAGGCAGTAGAAGAAGATGCAGCCCATCACGCCGATGCCGTAGATGTACGAGAACGTCACCTTGCCGCTCTGCGAATGGAGAAAGAAGGGGTTTTGGTTAGCTTTTATTAAGTAGTAAGTAGTAGTAAGGAATTAATTAATTGGCCAACGGTCGTTACCAATTATAAATAAGTGAAAAGTTAATATTGAACTAGTTTTTTACAGCTTTAAAACAGTAAAAGGAAATGATTCGAACAGTTTAAAATGATATTCCAAATTGTCTATCTTTTCCCTCATTAAAGTATTTAACTTTCATTATTTAATAACTTAAATTAGTATATAATATAATACTATTATTATTGTATCAAATTAAAATCTATAATACCTAGTTGGTTAAATTAGTAACAATAATAAAACTTGTTTAATATAGGAAAAACTAAAAAAGAGAAGTACAACTCATGTTTTCACTTCGGCTAAACTAATAGGAACAGCTGACATTTTGTCCTTTTTTTATATGCATTTAAAAGTTTAATTATATACTATGTGTAACATGTTCTTCAACTTTTAACTGTTTATCAGCAGCTTATTAATATTGTTTAAAACGGATTGCAACCGTTGTAGAAGGAGAAGAACAGTTCCGAGAAACGTTAATACAAACCAGCAATAGAAAGCCGCCAAGTGTGAGGCAGAAGACCAGGGGACCCGCCATGTCCGTGTCCTGCAGGATTTGCTGGTCGGTGCCCCGCAGCGGATTCAGCACGGCGAGGGTCTGGAACGAGGAGGCGGAGGAGGGCGATGCGATTAAAATTAGAGCAAGTGAAGGATTACACGGCGAGGGAACAGCGGTCCGTCCGTCCGTCCGTCCGCCAACTGACCATCATCACTCATGGAGCCTGCGGCAGGACATGGGACACGGGACATGGGACATGGCATCCGGAACTCGGAACGCGGAACACGGGACTTCGGACCCTGGACACTACACAGCACAACAACACACAATTCATTTGTTCGCACAGCGGCCATAAAACGGAGACTCCCGACTCCCATTTTCCAAACATTTGTTCTCTGTGCGTTTTGGTTTTTCGTTTTTTCGCCTTGTTTTTGTTTTTGTGTACTTGTGTGCAGTGGCAGAGAAATTTGAAAAATGGAAATTGATGATAAATGATATTGCTGACCAGCCATCCAACCAGCCATCCAGCCAGCTAGCAAGTGAGCCGGGGCTTGGGAACTGGCCCAAAAGCTGTCAACGCATTTGACGCATGCGAATGTGGGCCAGGACAAGGGCCATGAAATTTGATATTACAGCCGGCAAGGACCCACCAAAAATGTTCGATGAAATTCCGAGTGTCTCTCTGTGGCCTCACCAACTTTAATTGAGATTGAAAAGAATTTGAAGTGGAAAAACCCACAGTGTGGGAAAGCAATGATTCAATAAAGATTAGTTTTTCATGCCATTTTTTCAATGTCCGTCATAATACTGGTTGTTTGTTATAAACATATCAATGTAAAGTGAATTTATATACATATTTTATAAAGGTTTAATGTAACCATTGGCAGTTCTTTAAAAGGATTTGTGGTATACATCTCTTTAATTGAATTCGTCCACTATTAAACGATGCCTTTAATTAAAGATACTTTTTCCAAATAAACATTTTTATTTTTAAATGCGGAGAAAAGCCTTTACACCCGGATGCCACTATTTATGTACTCCATTACACGGCGCATAAGCCCTGAAAATACCTTTGTTGACTTTGCCATTTGCGACCGGTCCATTACATTGCCGAACAGAGCGGCGGAGTCAAACACAAATCTAACCATAATTCCCCCAGCTAGCTGATGAACAATTTAATTAGCATTTCATTTCATTTCAGCTTTATGATGGCACACGGACTCTCATTAACATTAACATTTTCATTTTTCAATTAACACAAGCGTAATAAATTCCGTGCCGGAGCGAAAGAAATGAGAATCAGGCGCACGCAAATTTTTTTACAAAATGGACAAAAATGCAGAAAGTTACACAGCGAACTGGACCCAACGAGCGGGAGGTGCAAAATAACAAAAAAAAAAAAAAACAAAATGAGCGAGAAAAACTTTAATTAAAAACACAAAAGTTGCTTTATTTATTTAAAAACAACTACGGATGGGCCCGCGGCGAGTGCAATGAAAAAATATGTCTTCATTAACGACACAAACCGGCAAGTGCAGCGACAACAAAGCACACTATAAAAAATGCAAAAAATTACGACAAACAAAAAAAATAAAGGACCGAAAACAATAGAATTATTGCGGCGGGAGGAGAGACTCGCAATAAATACAAAAGCGAAATGCAAAAACATTTAAATTTCAATTAAAACGGAGTTTTCCGCGGTGGAAGAGCGAGCGGCCTAAAGTGGCCGCCCAAAAGGAAAGCCGCCCGTTGCGTTGCACAAATTAGAAAAAGGCAGCACGGGCACGGGCCCGGGGAAAATGCGTAAGGGCAAACCAGGAATTATGTGGCGGGTGGAGTAATTGTCCGGGCAAACAAAGTGGGCAACTCAAAACTCGAGGCTCCTTTGTGCCGCATGTCGGTGGCATCCGGCGGGAATCGGGCGCATAAAATATGCAATTTTCCCGGCTCCTCGAAAAGATCTCTGGTTAAATATGCGTTCGACTGCAGCGGGTAAACCGCCGGGCGTTTCCAAAGGTGAAGTACGCAAATTATGAAAAGCCAGGGCAGAAACTTCTTTGTTCGCTCATTTCTCTTACCTTTTGGAAAATGTGATTCGGATTGATGCCCAGTTCTGAAACAAAACGGAAAATAATGCGAGTTTAATTGCTGGTTACACTGAGAAGTGGTCCTAATACTAAAGTAGTTTTATTAGCATAGATCTTAAAAAAATGATTTTCTATTTATTATAGAGTCGTGCAAGTTGAACTAGTTGGAAAACAAATACAGCATTCTGTTTCAATCGAGCTGCGAACAATAGTCATAAGGCATTTAATTGTAGGATATATACATAAATAAGCAAATCAGCAACGTTATTTTTTTAAACAAATTATTTTGCCCTTCAATTTAGACCATAACACAGGAAGTACGCCTGCATCTCAAACTATTTAATATTTTAAATCTAACTTTCTCTTTACAAAATAAAGAGTTATTGATAGTGTTTTAGAGATTGTAATACGTCCGCTTGTTTTGTTTAAGTATGGATATACATCCGTTTGTAAGCAGATAATAAAGTCGTATGTCTTTTGTAAAGTAGTTTTTCCGATAGTTTTTTATAGAAGAAAAGATTATCTCAATTCTTATTGGGAACACATTTTAGATTCCACTTTCTAGCTGTCTACATATTACCATGAGATAGATGGTATTAACATTTCTTTTTGAAATGCAAGAAAAATATCCATAATGTTAATGCTTTAAATATCAGTTCCCATTGAAACCCCATCTTACCCTCCAAAAGTGGGGGCTCATCGTCGAACTCGTTGCCGGCTCCTCCGGGTGCTCCTTGTTTTCCGCTCTTGTCCTGCCCGTAACTGGTGTCCGTGTACGCCGTAGGGTCGTAGAAACCGCCCAGCCCTTGGGGCGCAGGCTGAGCATATGTCGCGTCATAGTTGGGCGGCACGGAGGCCTGTGTGTTGTCGAAGGTTTGGAAGTTCCTGCAATCAAATCGAGCAACAATTGTGGGTGCACTCTAAAATATCCGGGCTTTACTCACAGCTCTTGACCGAATTCCGGCATGTCGAAGTTATAGCTGGCATCCGCGGAAGGCGCGGAGCCATAAAAGTCATTGGGTCCGCCAAACTGAGACATGTTTAATCTAATTTAAGCACAATTTAATTGTAGTATTTTCGAAATTTAACAAAACAACACGTCAACTAGAGATGAGCCAAGAATCGATGTTTTCCGAAACTATCGATATTATGTTAACTTTTAGCAATGGCTCGAACCTTAAGTGCAACTTTGCTAAAAACAAAACCGGGCTCCAAAATTGTTTTGAACTGTTAGAAACTCAAATATTTAAAAAAAAGTATAAAAACATAAACTATTGTTAAATAAGAAAACCCAGACTTTTTGTAACATTCATAATACATTTTATTTCCATAGCTCCATTTGCAACACACACAAGTTACTGAAATAGCTATTCATCTTTGGTAGAAGAGGTACATGCTGTTGGGGCTACGTTATTGCGTTCTTTAAAGGTCTATAATATGTAGGAATATAATATATTATAATTTCGTAAAGTTTCAAACTCTCTTTAGATTCGTTTAGTTGGTTTAGTTTTCACACAATAGGGGAACGAACACAATCGATAACTATATGAAAATTTACTAACAATACATAGTAGTTGTGAATTATAATTATATATCAACATAGATAGTTATACATATGTGTCGTATATGTACGGTATTTATGTATATGGCTGGTTTAACTGCGTTTCATTTGCGCTACCGACTAATTATTGTTCGTCTTTCCTAACTCGCCGTCGTCGTGTGTTCTCTTTTGCTTTGTGTAACCTTTGTTGATTCGACTGACTAGACCTGAAGCGGGCCAAACTGTTTGTTAAACTTATAAATAAACTTGGATTCAAATATCTTATTATGCATTATGTAAATATGACTAGATTGAATGGGGAATTCGAATAGTAACCTAGCTTTGGTTTCTTATTTCGTTTGGTTTGCTCCATTTTCCATTCCTTCTGCTAGCAAATCCCGCAGTTGTTCTTCGCCCCGCTCTGCTTAATCCTCCAGATTTCGGAAGGCCTGCTGCAGGTCCTCGTACAGCTGATCGTAGTCCGCCTTGATCTTTTGCTCACCATCTTTCACGGGGTCCTAAAAGTCAAGAAACATAGGTAATGAATAACCGATATAATTCAATTAGTAACTTCAAACTTCGAAAGTAAATAAATGCTCACCTTGAACTTCATCGACGACAGCTGATACATAATGCCGCCCATCGACTCCCTGATGGTGTTCCATGTGATCTTGTTGTCCGACTGGGCTGTGGACTCGACGGCATGCCGGGCGGTCTCGTAGAAGGCCATGATGTTCCTCAGCATGCCCACCGTCTTGTAGAAGGGACAGACGCGATCGTACGGCGAGTAGGAGTTCTGTTGCAGGAAGTCGTCCTTCAGCAGCTTGGCTACTTCCAGGGTCACCTTGTCGGTCTCGGCCAGCGAGGCCTTGCCCACCAGCTGCACGATCTCGGAGAGGTCCTCCTCCTCCTGCAGGATCTCCTTGACCTTGGTACGCAGCGGCACGAATTCGGGGAAGTTCTTGTCGTAGTATTCATCCAGGGCGCGCATGTATTTCGAGTAGGAGATGAGCCAGTTGATCGAGGGGAAGTGCTTCCTCTGGGCCAGTTTCTTGTCCAGACCCCAGAACACCTGCACGATACCCAGAGTGGCGGAGGTCACGGGATCGGAGAAGTCACCACCAGGAGGCGACACAGCACCGACAATGGACACGGATCCCTCGCGCTCGGGGTTACCCAAGCACTTCACACGTCCAGCTCGCTCGTAGAAGGTGGCCAAACGGGCGCCCAGATAAGCCGGATAGCCGGAATCAGCGGGCATCTCAGCCAGACGACCCGAAATCTCACGAAGAGCCTCGGCCCAACGGGAGGTGGAGTCGGCCATCATGGCCACGTTGTAGCCCATGTCGCGGAAGTACTCGGAAAGGGTGATGCCGGTGTAGATGGAGGCCTCGCGGGCAGCCACTGGCATGTTGGAGGTGTTGGCCACCAAGGCAGTGCGCTTCATGATGGACTCGGTCACGCCGTCGATTTCGCAGGTCAGTTCGGGGAAGTCACGCAGCACCTCGGACATCTCGTTACCACGCTCGCCGCAGCCGACGTAGATGATCACATCGGAGTTGGAGTACTTGGACAGGGCCTGTGGAGAAATGGGAAAGATATTATAGTATTTGATTTAGGGAATCTAGATTTGAAGTGAATTGTAATTAAAGTCCATACAAATCATTTTTTATGGAATTGCTAGTTAAAGTATTTTATGAAATGCATCTAAAATACTTGTTTTAAAACTGTTTTACGAATTAAGTCCGGAGTATAAACATTATATATTACTTGAAGAAATTATTTTGATAATTGATAATATATATGAATTTAATTTAATTAATTAACTATTTTGAGTGGAAAGTATATTGTTCAGTTAGTCTTGCTAAAAAAAATGTTTAATGGTCATACCCTTAGGTTTCTTATAGGGATAAGCTAGTAACCATTGGCGGGTATGCACTCACCTGGGAGATGACAGTCTTGCCGCAGCCAAAGGCTCCGGGGATGGCAGTGGTTCCGCCCTGGACGCAGGGGAAGAGCGAGTCGAGGACACGTTGGCCAGTGAAGAGCGGATGGTTGGCGGGCAGCTTCTCGGTGACGGGACGTGGCTGCCTCACCGGCCAAACCTGCAACATGGTGTGCTTGGTGATCTCGCCGTCGAATTCCGTCTCCAAGACAATGTCCTCCAGGTTGTAGTTGCCCGCCGGGGCGATGTATCGCACAGTGCCCTTAGCCCTGGGCGCCACAATCATGCGCTGCTTCACCAGCGTGTTCTCGTGCACCACTCCATACAAATCTCCGCCAGTGATGTGCGATCCCACGCGCACATTCAGCGGATTGAACTCCCACATCTCGGAGCGCGACAAAGCGCATGTGTTGACACCTTTGGGTATGTAGATGGAGTTGGTCATCACACCAATGTCCCGCAAGGGTCGCTGGATGCCGTCGAAGATGCTGCCCATGATGCCTGGTCCCAGCTCCACGGAGAGGGGTTTGCCGGTACGCAGGACGGGATCGCCCACGGTGACGCCTGAGGTCTCCTCGTACACCTGGATGGTGGCCATGTCGCCCTCCAGTCGGATGATCTCGCCCACCAGCTCGTAGTAGCCGACGCGGACCAACTCGTACATAGCCGATCCCGACATGGCCTCCGCGGTGACCACTGAAAGGGGGAAAAGGAAAAGCATAAGAATTATGGAAAGTTCAAGTGGTTAATCTAACCAGAACATGAACATGAGGATAAAGGATTGTTAAACGGATATTGAGAAATAATCAGAGTTTATATATTGATGAACAGTAGGATGGACAGAGGCATAAATATAAACGGAGGAACAAGAAGAAAAGTTTAGAAGAATAGAAAAATAATAAAGTATTCATAATTTAATAAAAAAGAAACGAATGAATTAAATCGGGTGAGAACGCATAACGAACATGGAAAATTGAAAGAATAAATGAAGAGGAGCAGGCGGAGATGCGGATAAGGAGTTGTAATAAATAATCAAGAGGTTAAGCAGGTGAAAAACCATAAATAAGTGGATGCACCGCCTCTGGACATTTATGAAAGGAATTGCTTTCGGAGATTGGCCAGATGTTTGGGGTCAGCGACTGAAGGACGCTGGTGACGTCGCTCACCTGGTCCCGAAACCGCGTAGACACGGCCATATTCCGACTCGCGCTCCTCGTCTTTGAATTTCCTCAAGTTGGACATGGTCGCTCTTCTTCTTCTTCTGCTTCGGTAACGGTCAAAACGCTCGATGGCTGTAACAAAAAAATAATCGGTTATTTCTGATAAACAAAACACACATTTTCCATGCCCCCGAGAGTCTTTCCCTGTGAGCAGGAAAATCGTAGGTGGCGCTGTTGTGCAGCAGCAGCCCCCAGTGAAAAGCTTCACACCCCCGCAGCCCAGCATCGATTTTCCAATACAATTTTCACGCATGCCACGGACGTCTAAGTTGAATTTTTCAAATTTCTTGCAGTCAAATTGCATTTTCCACGTTTTCCATTTGTTCACACACATTTAGTTTTGTTTTAAGTTCGTTTTGTTCGGTAATTACGATTTTTTTGCTATCCTAAAATTAAATATGCTCACATTTGTTTCACCAGCTCTTATGAAAATTCTCTTGCTTTTTTTGATTTTACTCTAGTATTGAAATATCGGTAATCGACGAGCGTGCTTGCCTGTCGATAGAGATGGACTTGAGCAGAGTCACTGCTAGTCACGCCTGTCACTAAGTATTTTGAAACTACATTCTACTTTACATTTACAAAAATGTCTGCAAAACTTTTGTATAAAATTTATGATTTTAAAAGAACATATCTGGAGTCATTTGGAAATAACAATATATGTAGGATAATAAGACACACAGTTGGCTTAAAATAATTAAAATCAAAAAAATTTCTGGGTCATTTGAATATAACAATAAATGTAAGATAACAAAACACACAGTTGGAAATAATTAAATTTAAAATATGGTTCAAATATTTACATTTATTGGATATGTTTGTAAAATCGATTGTATTTTCTGCTATATATGTAGTTATTTTGAAGGATGACAAAATTGTTTAAAATGGAACCAAATAACAACAGATCATAGAATTTTTAAGTATTTGAGATTATTTCAATGGATTAAAATAAAATGTTGTAATTTATATTACTTAATTAACGAATTCCTTTTTTCTTCGAAGGGATTAGTCTTGACTCTTGGACAGTTTGCGTCGCGCTATACAGAGAGTATTAAAAGAATATTTAAAAAAGTGATTATAATATGGAAATTAAAATCCTCTTGCTTAATTGGAAGTTTGGCTTCTTTAAGATTTTACATGGGTTTTTAATAATAAAACAAAGTCAAATAGTTCAGCAAACAATTTGAGGACAAAGGAATACACTTAATATAATCTACTGCTTTTTCGATAAACACAAGAGCGGCAGTTCCATCATGTAATTCCGCATCCACCGCGAATGGTCACACTGCATTCATTTATCGGCAGCGGCTGCAAATAATTTCCGTAAAAACTTTATTTAACCGCGATTAAACCAAGCAAAGGACTTGCATCCGCGTGTTATCCTCTGGTGCCGGTGCCGGCAGATGAACTCTTTTCGATCGGACAGTGAAACAGTGCGTGCTGCGCCTCAGCGCAAACGAAAAGATAACCTCTAAAGTTCGGACCCATCGAGCAGATGCACCTGCTCCACCTTTTGACTCCCTCCCAAATGCCAGTGAAAAGGCCTTCTAACTAGTCGACAATTCCCAGCCCAGCCATGTCGACGACATCGGTGGTGCAGCAGTTCGTCAACGGGCTTAAGTCCCGCAACCGAAATGTCCAGAACAAGGCCACCCAGGATCTGCTCTTCTACGTGAAGACGGAGCTGCGCGAGATGTCCCAGGAGGAGCTGGCGCAGTTCTTTGACGAGTTCGACCACCACATCTTCACCATGGTGAATGCGGCCGACATCAACGAGAAGAAGGGCGGTGCCCTAGCGATGAGTGAGTTCCTGGGACACCAGTGTTTCACGCGAGGATTAACTGTTGTCCCTTTTAGAGTGCCTGATCAACTGCGAGGGCAGCCTGACGGCCAGGAAGGGCATCTCGCCGTATCTGAACCGTCTTCGAGATCTGCTCCTCATCAACGATGTATCCGTCATGGAGATTGCCGCCCGCTCCCTTGTTAAACTGGCCAACATGCCCACTTCCAAGGGCGCCGATTCCTTTGACTTTGACATCAAAAAGGCCTTCGAAGTGCTCAGGGGCGAGAGACAAGAGGTAAATAACGAGAAACAACTTCTGGGAATATGCTGAAGATAACTATTTATCCCTTATGCAAGAAAACTTTTTTCTAGAAGTTAAAATTCCTGAGAAAAATCGTATTATGTTTCTTAAAAGCCGACCTTATTTATCTGAGAAGTTGTTAGGACCATGGCATTCTCTCTTTTTATTTCAAAGCAAGCCCCTCTAAAAGCAAGTTGCTGGGGGCTCATAAATATTATAACAAAGCTCCAAAAATCCAAATATTACGAGATTGATCTCCCAAAGAAGATTATAATAAAAATGTTTATGTTTTCAGTACCGTCGGCACGCTGCAGTCTTTATTCTCCGCGAGCTGGCCATCGCCTTGCCGACGTACTTCTACCAGCACATCCTGACCTTCTTCGAGGTCATCTTCAACGCCATCTTCGATCCCAAACCTGCCATTCGGGAGTCCGCAGGCGAGGCGTTGAGGGCGGCCCTAATTGTCACCGCGCAGCGAGAGAGTAGGAAACAGTCGAGCGAGCCGCAGTGGTACAAGATCTGCTACGAAGAGGCAAATGCCAGCTTCAGTGCTGATGTGACAACTGGCAAGGAAACGAAGGGCATGACCCGAGACGATCGCATTCACGGCGGCCTTATCGTCTTCAACGAGCTCTTCCGGAGTGCCAACGCCACTTGGGAGAAGTGCTACACATCCCTCAAGACGTTGTTTCCCAAGGCGCAGCACAACAAGTTCCTGGAGGCCAGCAGCTCGTCGGGCATGGGCTCCCAGCTGAACACACTGGTGCCGCGCTTGAAAGTGCCCTTCATCGACAAGCTCGGCAGCACCCAGACGCACTTGGGCGAGGGCGAGCAGCACAACGGAGTGGCCAAGTTCGCGAGCGTGAGTCTAACGATCAATATCCCCACACACGAATGTATTTGTTTGTTTTGTTTATATTATTTTACGAGGTACGTTAAATCTAGCTTGAAAACAATAGTACCTTCAGTATTTCAAGTTTGTGTGCAAAAGCAGAAAGTTCTAATTACTTGTATTAGAAAGTGTGAAGGATTTTTGTTTACGATGTAGTTAACATACGTAAATTTTGTTAAACGAATCACATACTTAACTTCAGATTGATAGATGATTAGGAAATTAACGAATTTTTGCTATTAGTTATAATTCGAATCATCTTTTAAGTTTTCCATTTTCTTTAACACGTCCTTTTTTTTAAGTAGAGTAAGAATTTTGCAACTTAAACACAGAATCAACTAAATTGCTTGACTTCCCGCAGCACAACGTCTTGGAGTCCGCCTACGCGCACGAGATCCTCCAGGAGCACTACATAACCATCTGCGACAATGTGCTGGAACAGCGCTCCTCAAAGTCACCTTATGTGCAGCAGGCTCTGTTGCAAATCCTGCCGCGACTGGCGGCCTTCAACCGCGAGGTGTTCGTGGAGAAGTATCTGCAGACCTGCGTTTCCCATCTAATGCTGATCCTGCGTGGCAAGGAGAAGGATCGCACGGTGGCGTACATTACGATCGGCTACATGGCTGTGGCCGTGCAGGATGCGATTGAGAGTCACCTATCCGGCATCATGGGCAGCATAAAGCTCGCTCTGCCCGCCAAGGATTTGACCAGCAAACGGAAGGTGCCAGTGGATCCTGCTGTCTTTGCCTGCATCACGCTCCTTGCGCACGCCGTTGATTCGGCGATAGCCGACGATGTTAAGGATATCCTCGAGCAGATGTTCTACACCGGTCTCTCGCCTGCCTTAACAGTTTGCCTGAGGGAACTTTCGGAGAACGTGCCGCAGCTAAAGACCGCCATCACAGACGGACTGATCGGAATCCTCTCCCAGGTGCTGATGAACAAGCTAGTCACCCTTCCGTACAACACCTTGCCACCGATCGCCATCGATGCGTCGCTGATGATGCAGAACGCCGACGGAGCCACCACCGTGCTGGCCCTCAAAACACTGGGCACCTTCAACTTTGAGGAGCAGAACATGCTGGACTTTGTTCAACGGTGAGCCAATACAGAACAGTCTAGATCCTTCTCCTTAAAAACAATATTAATAACATCTTTGTCTTGTAGTTGCGCTGACTATTTCATTGTACACGAACAGCAAGAAATTCGCCTAGAGGCGGTGCAGACCTGCACACGTCTCCTCAAGCTTGCAGTGCAATCGTCGGAGAGTATGGAGAACTCGAAGACCCTCAGCGATACGGTCTCCTACGTGATAGAGCGCCTGCTCATGGTCGCCATCACGGACATGGACTGCAACGTGCGGATAACCATCCTCCGCTCGCTGGACGAGACCTTCGATGCGAAGCTCGCGCAGCCGGAGTCGCTAAATTCGCTATTTATCACCCTGCACGACGAGATCTTTGAGATCCGGGAGCTGGCCATGGTCACCATTGGAAGATTGTCCTCCATGAACCCGGCCTATGTGATGCCCAAGTTGCGGACCACCATGATCGAGTTGATCACGGACCTAAAGTACTCGGGAATGAGTCGGAACAAGGAGCAGAGTGCGAAGATGCTGGATCATCTGGTGATCAGCACGCCCAGGCTGATATCCTCCTACATGAATCCGATCCTGAAGGCTTTGGTGCCCAAGCTGCACGAACCGGAATCGAATCCGGGAGTCATCCTGAATGTGCTTCGCACGATTGGCGATCTGGCGGAGGTGAACGGCGGCTCCGATGAAATGGAACTCTGGGCAGACGACCTGCTCTCCATTTTGCTGGAGATGCTCGGCGATGCTGGCAGTCCGGACAAGCGCGGAGTGGCGCTGTGGACCTTGGGCCAGCTGATCAGTGCAACGGGCAGGGTGGTGAGCCCGTACCACAAGTACCCCGTGCTCATCGACATCCTGATCAACTTCCTGAAAACGGAACAGCGGCGCTCCATTCGAAGGGAAACGATCCGAGTGCTGGGCTTGTTGGGCGCCATGGATCCGTACAAGCACAAGATGAACAAGGGTCTGATCGACAGCCAAAAGGACAATGTGCTGATCGCCTACTCCGACGGCAAGGTGGACGAGAGCCAGGACATCTCCACGGCGGAGCTTCTGGTCAATATGGGCAACGCTCTGGACGAGTACTATCCAGCTGTGGCCATCGCTGCCCTGATGCGGATCCTGCGCGATCCCACGCTGAGCACGCGACACACCAGCGTGGTCCAGGCGGTGACCTTCATCTTCCAGAGCCTGGGCATCAAGTGCGTGCCCTACTTGGCCCAGGTGCTTCCCAATCTGCTGGACAATGTGCGCACGGCGGACAACAATCTGCGGGAGTTCCTGTTCCAGCAGCTGGCCATTCTGGTGGCCTTCGTGAAGCTGCACATCATCAGCTACATGGGTGATATCTTCAAGCTGATCAAGGAGTTCTGGACCATCAACACGCCGCTGCAGAACACTCTGATCAATCTGATCGAGCAGATTGCCGTGGCCCTGGGCTGCGAGTTCCGGGACTATCTGGCGGAGCTGATTCCGCAGATCCTGCGAGTGCTGCAGCACGACAACTCCAAGGACCGAATGGTCACGCGGCGGCTGCTCCAAGCTCTGCAAAAGTTCGGCAGCACCTTGGGCTACTATCTGCCGCTGATTCTGCCGCCGATCGTCAAGCTCTTCGACTCGCCCTACGTGCCGCAGCAGGTGTCCATGGTGGCCCTGGAGACAATCAACAATCTGGCCTGCCAGCTGGACTTCACCGACTTCTCCTCGCGCATCATCCATCCGCTGGTTCGGGTGCTGGACGCTGAGCCGGAGCTGCGCGATCAGGCGATGATCACGCTGCGCTCGCTGGTCAAGCAGCTGGGCAAGAAGTACCTGGTGTTCGTACCCATGGTGCAGCGCACGCTGAACAAGCACCGCATCGCGGATCCCGAGTACGAGAAGCTGCTCAGCCGCATCCAGTCGAACAGCACGCTGGCGGACTCGCTCGGCGCCGGGGAGTCCGGACTGCGGCCGGCTAAGATCAAGAACAACGAGCCCTTTGTGACGGATAGGAATAGCAATATCAAGAACTTGCAGGTTGGTTAGAATTACAATAATTAATTAATAAGGGATGTGATCTAACATTGTGTTTTATCGCTTTGCAGGTGACAACAAACGAACTGCGAACGGCGTGGCAGGTGACCCGTCGCGTCTCCAAGGACGACTGGGTGGAGTGGCTGAAGCGGCTGTCGATCGGGCTGCTCAAGGAGTCGCCCTCGCACGCGCTGAGAGCCTGTCGCTCGCTGGCCCAGGAGTACGATACGCTGCTGCGCGACCTCTTCAACGCCGCATTTATCTCCTGCTGGACGGAGCTCTCGCAGGACCTAAAGTCCGAGCTAACGCAGTCCCTGATCCAGGCCCTGCAGGTCACCGACATGCCGGAGATCACGCAGACGATCCTCAATCTGGCGGAGTTCATGGAGCACTGCGATCGCGACCCCATTCCGATCGAGACCAAGCTGCTCGGCACTCGGGCGTTGGCGTGCAGGGCGTACGCCAAGGCTCTGCGCTACAAGGAGGAGGAGTTCCTGCCGCGCAAGGATCCGCAGGTGCTGGAGTCCCTGCTGCTGATCAACAACAAGCTGCAGCAGCGGGAGGCGGCCGAAGGTCTGCTGACCACCTATCGCAAGGCAGTCAAGGACCTGAAGGTCCAGGGCAGGTGGTACGAGAAGCTGCACAACTGGGACGAGGCACTGGAGCACTACGAGAAGGATCTATTCGAAGACTCCACGGACCTGGAGGCCCGCCTGGGACACATGCGCTGTCTGGAGGCGCTCGGCGACTGGTCGGAGCTGAGCAATGTGACGAAGGACAAGTGGGAGTCCTTCACCACGGAGACGAAGGCGCGGGCGAGCCCCCTGGCCGCGGTGGCTGCCTGGGGTCTCCAGGATTGGGAGGCGATGCGGGAGTACGTGCGGTGCATACCGGAGGACACCCAGGATGGCAGCTACTATCGAGCAGTGCTGGCGGTGCACCACGACGACTTCGAGACGGCGCAGCGCCTGATAGACGAGACCAGGGATCTCCTGGACACGGAACTCACGTCCATGGCGGGCGAATCATACGAACGAGCCTACGGCGCCATGGTGTGCGTCCAGATGCTCGCGGAGCTGGAGGAGGTTATTCAGTACAAGCTGATCCCCGAGCGAAGGGAGCCCCTGAAGACGATGTGGTGGAAGCGGCTGCAGGGTGGCCAGCGCCTGGTGGAGGACTGGCGCCGCATCATCCAGGTGCACTCGCTGGTGGTGAAGCCGCACGACGACATCCACACCTGGCTGAAGTACGCGAGCCTGTGCAGGAAGAGCGGCTCCCTGCACCTGTCGCACAAGACCCTGGTGATGCTGCTGGGCACCGATCCCGAGCTGAGTCCCGACGAGCCGCTGCCGTGCAATCAACCCCAAGTGACCTACGCCTACACCAAGTACATGGCGGCCAACAAGGACCTGAAGAACGCCTACCACCAGCTGCGCCTCTTCGTGAACACCTACAGCCAGGAGCTGAGCTGCCTGCCGCCGGAGGCGCTCAAGCAGCAGGACCAGCGGCTGATGGCGCGCTGCTACCTCCGGCTGGCCACCTGGCAGAACAAGCTGCAGGACAAGCTCGGCCCGGAGGCGATACCCGGCGCCCTCGAGTGCTTCGAGAAGGCCACCAGCTACGATCCCAACTGGTACAAGGCCTGGCACCTCTGGGCGTACATGAACTTCAAGGTGGTGCAGGCGCAGAAGTCGGCGCTGGACAAGCAGCAGCCGGCGGGCGCCAACATGGGCATGTCCATGGGTCTGGGCCTGGACAGCGATATGCTGATCATCCAGCAGTACGCGGTGCCGGCGGTCCAGGGCTTCTTCCGCTCGATCAGCCTCATCAAGGGCAACTCCCTGCAGGACACGCTGCGTCTGCTGACCCTGTGGTTCGACTACGGCAACCATGCTGAGGTGTACGAGGCGCTGCTCTCCGGCATGAAGCTGATCGAGATTAACACCTGGCTGCAGGTCATCCCGCAGCTGATTGCCCGCATCGACACGCACCGCCGCTTGGTGGGTCAGCTGATCCACCAGCTGCTCATGGACATCGGCAAGAATCACCCGCAGGCGCTGGTCTACCCGCTGACGGTGGCTTCCAAGTCGGCGTCGCTGGCGCGCAGGACCGCCGCCTTCAAGATCCTCGACTCGATGCGCAAGCACTCGCCCACCTTGGTGGAGCAGGCGGTCATGTGCAGCGAGGAGCTGATCCGCGTGGCGATCCTCTGGCACGAGCAGTGGCACGAGGGACTGGAGGAGGCGTCGCGCCTCTACTTCGGCGATCGCAACGTGAAGGGCATGTTCGAGATCCTGGAGCCGCTGCACGCCATGTTGGACAGGGGGCCGCAGACGCTCAAGGAGACCTCCTTCTCGCAGGCCTACGGACGCGAGCTCACGGAGGCGTACGAGTGGTCGCAGCGCTACAAGACGTCGGCGGTGGTCATGGACCTGGACCGGGCCTGGGACATCTACTACCACGTCTTCCAGAAGATCTCGCGCCAGCTGCCGCAGCTCACCTCGCTGGAGCTGCCGTACGTCTCGCCCAAGCTGATGACCTGCAAGGACCTCGAGTTGGCCGTTCCGGGCTCCTACAATCCGGGCCAGGAGCTAATTCGTATTAGTCACATTAAAACCAACCTGCAGGTGGGAATAACGCACATTAATCAATCAAAGTTCATGATTATTGACAATTTGTATTCCCTTTAAAGGTTATCACATCCAAGCAGCGTCCTCGAAAGCTGTGCATTCGCGGCTCCAACGGCAAGGACTACATGTACCTGCTCAAGGGCCACGAGGATCTCCGTCAGGACGAGCGCGTGATGCAGCTCTTCTCGCTGGTGAACACCCTGCTGCTGGACGACCCCGACACGTTCCGGCGGAACCTGGCCATCCAGCGGTACGCGGTGATCCCGCTCAGCACCAATTCCGGCCTGATTGGCTGGGTACCGCACTGCGACACCCTGCACACTCTGATCCGGGACTACCGGGACAAGAAGAAGGTACCGCTGAACCAGGAGCACCGGACCATGCTCAACTTTGCGCAGGACTACGACCACCTCACGCTGATGCAGAAGATCGAGGTGTTCGAGTACGCGCTGGGCAAGACGCAGGGCGACGATCTGGCCAAGTTGCTGTGGCTCAAGTCGCCGTCCTCGGAGCTGTGGTTCGAGCGGAGGAACAACTACACCCGCTCCCTGGCCGTCATGTCGATGGTGGGCTACATCCTCGGCCTGGGCGATCGTCATCCGTCGAACCTCATGCTGGACCGCATGAGCGGGAAGATTCTGCACATCGATTTCGGCGACTGCTTCGAGGTGGCCATGACGCGCGAGAAGTTCCCCGAGAAGATCCCGTTCCGCCTCACCCGGATGCTGATCAAGGCCATGGAGGTGACCGGCATCGAGGGCACCTACCGACGCACCTGCGAGAGCGTGATGCTGGTGCTCCGCCGCAACAAGGACTCCCTGATGGCAGTGCTGGAGGCCTTCGTCTACGATCCGCTGCTCAACTGGCGTCTGCTCGACGTAGACAAGAAGGGCAACGACGCGGCGGCCGGAGCGGGTGCGCCGGGCGGCGGAAGAGGCGGCTCCGGAATGCAGGACAGCCTCAGCAACTCGGTGGAGGACTCGCTGCCCATGTCCAAGTCCAAGCCCTACGATCCCACGCTGCAGCAGGGCGGCCTGCACAACAACGTCGTGGACGAGACGAACAGCAAGGCCAGCCAGGTGATCAAGCGGGTGAAGTGCAAGCTAACGGGCACCGACTTCCAGACGCAGGCGAGCGTCAACGAGCAGGAGCAGGTGGACCTGCTCATCAAGCAGGCGACCGACAACGAGAACCTCTGCCAGTGCTACATTGGCTGGTGTCCGTTCTGGTAGTTCGCGCGATCTTCCCAACCGACAACCGGCCACTGACTGAGCGAGATTACGAACACTACTTACTACTAACTGAACCGTGTGCACCCACATCTCTAGAGAGGATTCGGAGATGACTACGTTTAGGCTTTAAGTATAAAATATTTTTATAATTTATGTTAGAAGTACGCTTTATTACCTTTTATTTGTGAATACGATTGGAAACAAGTTCCAAGTTTGTAAAAATCTATAAAAACCCATGAAACAATCTGTTGTTATTGATATACCCTCTACTCATAGAGTAAAAGGTTTTTGTTGCAAAGTGTTTACCATGTCGATAGAAGCACTAGGGATCATCAGACGAGTCGACCGTATGAACGTGGATATCACGGGAACTATAGGAGCTGGAATACTTACATCTGTGCTAGCCAGAATTTTTATGTTACAACAATTTGGATGATATACGAGTATTTGAAATCTATTCGTGAATACGCAGCCAAGCGAGTTTTTTTAATCTGCCACGCCCACGTGTACACCCACCATCCTGGCGTGTGACCGCCTTTCGGTTTTAGCGTCGATATTTTACCTGTCCATCCGTACATTAGTTCATTCGGTCTCGACGGACTACGGAATCATATAAAGCAAGTTAGCTGACGTTAAATGGGTATAATAAGCCTATAGTTCCGGAGATCGTTTATGCTGATTGTCAACTACCTAATCTATTATACTTAACTCTACATACTACAAGTCGACGGACTTGACGGACATGACAGACTTGACGGACATTGCAGACGGATTTAACTCTTATGATGATATTTATCTTATCTGTAAGAGAATACTTATGCTCAGTATAACGACCTCTTACCATCGCTGTCAAAATACTATGACTAGTATATGGGGCTTTTCATTCCTGCAAGTGAATAGACTTCAATATTCAAAAATGCCAAGCCTCTTGACATTGTTTATTTGAGTGAAGGGTAACCCACTAAAGTGCTTCTTTTTGGTTTGCACTCAGTTTAAAGTGTGGAAAAACTTATTTGATAGCTTAGCCATTTTTTCCAATTCCATTCCAGAAAATCATAATGATAATGTTTATTCATTATTTTTATTTGTGAATCCAATTGCAAATAAATTCAATCTTTTTGTAAATCACCAAAGACCCACACAACGTTTATGGTAAACGAACAGTATCATATCGCCTTTCGCGACCAAAAAGGAAAACAAACGAAACATTTGCAAAAATTTTCAGTATTTTTCAAACATCTAAGTAGACGCCATCCCGTCGGGAGCGGCGATTAAGGTTTACTGACGCTTGCGGGCTGCCCAAAAAGCGGGCGCCTCAAATAAACTAAATCCTGCACAAAGAATATTTATAATTATGTATGTAGAAGATAGGTAGACACTAAAACTGCACATTAAACTAGTCCTAGGCGTAGCAGTAGGGTTTGTGGGGAGAGTGGGCGTGGCCGGCTGGGAACAGGGCTTAGCTGTTGTTCCGCTTGCCGCGCTGCTCCTTGCGCCAGGCGTCGATGCGCTGTTTCAGCTCGATGTTCGGCACCAGCATGTCCTCGGTGAGGGGCTGTCGGTTGAAGGGGTCCGTGCAGCTGTTGAGCAGGTGCCGTGTGATGATCGCCCGGTCCATTACCGTGCCGGAGGGCAGCACCACGGGGTCCGACATGAGCGTGTCCATCAGTGGATCCTTGAACTCGTCGGGCGCGTCGGCGCATTCATCTTCAGTCTGTTGGTTGGTAACTGCAAGGGAGTCGATTTTTTTTAATAAGTTTAAAATCTTTTAAAAGGGAAATGTAAGTCTTAATCCCACCATAGATTTCGTGAGCACGTTGGGTGAGCGCCTTGAAGCGTTCCACCTCGACCGCCGAGCGCAGGGCCAATCGCTTGATCCTCTGCGCTGCCTCGTTGCAGATCTGCAGGTCGAAGGATCGCTCGTCGGCGGCCAAGGCCTCGGCGAATCTATCACAGTCCAGGTGGAGATATATGTCGAAGATCTGGGCCAGCAGGCTGCGTGGCTCCCAGCCGTACTTGGCCGGGTTCTTGACCTTCAGGTCGTTGCACTTGGGCCCGGCCAGCTGCTTCAGATTGAAGTTCAACATGGAGCTGAGCCGGTCCACCAGCTCGGCGCGCATGAACGGCTCCTTGATGTCGCTCTGAATGGGATAGCAAGATTACATTTCGGAAATTCACTGATTAAATTCTGCACTCACTGTCAGATAGTGAAACAGATCGACTGTCTCTCGAGCCAGTGTCAAGTAGGAGCGGCACTGGCGCTCGTCCGTCGCCAGCTGGGTGAGTCGGCTCTGCTGCTGCTCGGCGCTCATCTTGCTCAGGTTCGCCTTGTCCGACAGCAGCTGCTGGGTCTGGTGGATGCGCTTCAGGTTCTCGAGGCACTCGTCCAGCAGAAAAGTGGTGTCGTTCATCAGCATGTTGACAAACTTCACGAACTGATTGCCCACACGCGACTCGCAGATCACTGCCTGCCGGTGGATGGGATTCTCCCACATGGATTTGAACAGATGGCTAATATGGTATCTGTGGATGGGATAATAATGGATTAGCTATTGTTTTTAGGAACGTTCAATGAGGGGAGTAAAAATATATATTCAAGATAAGGAAAGTATTAGGTAGGTTATATACATAAATTTGCAAACATTGCATTTATATTTTATTTACATTTTCGTAACGATTTAATTACAAAAATATAAATATAATAAAGATACATATGTGATAAGCTATAGCAAAACTGTTAGTGATCGTAAAATATTTAGTAGCTCATTTTATATCACATTCTTGGGAAAAAGTTTAAAGTTCTTTTGGGGGTTTTGGCGTGCTTACCTAATGGTAAACTTATCGTAAAACTCAGTGCTTTGGCCGGTTGTCTCTACGTCGACATAGAATCTCATCAGGGCGCTGACCAGGGCGTTTTGAGCCAGCTCATGATTCCACATCTGTTTGGACAATAAAAAAAAAATAATATTAAGTAGAGTCATTAACCCATTGAAACCGGAACGTACCGCTGTGTTGACCGAATTGGCTGGCTTCAGGGAGAACACAAACATCACCTCGACCAGCTTGGCAGTCACATAGGGGTTCTTGATGAGATGCGAGGCGCAGACGCAGGTCAGCAGCCAGGTGATGATCGAGTGGTCGATGCCCTGGCGGATGTCCACGTTGGCGTGCTGCATGGTGAACAGAATGAACTCGGCGATGTCGTCGATGTACCACTCGGGCAGTGCGGAAAATGCATCCGTTGGCTTCAGCTGCTGCACGGGCAGCTTGGAGATGAAGGGTCCCTCGATCGGGCGTCCCTCGAACTGGTACAGCATGAATTCGCACACAGTGGAGTAGAATTCCGTGCAGCGCTGGAGCAGAGCGGGATCCAAGAGCGTTATCTCGCTGCAGGTTTTTGACCTTGAATTGGTAAATATTTATGTTTAGATTCATAGTCTTTTGGTTTGAAAAAGAGACACTTAATGCTTCAACTTGGGTGACTAGACAAAAAATGGCGGTGATTCATTGCCAAAATTTGTATGAGTCACAGATAAGAATTAAGGTGGAGTTATGAAGCACCCACCGATTCAGCTTGCGCAGCTGCTTCTCCCAGCGCTCCTTGAACTGATTGTTGCGGTTGGCGTAGCGGGAGTTGACCCAATGCGGCTTGGTGCGATCCAGCTCGTCGATGAGCTTCTGCAGCTCCTTGATGGCGCGCACCTTCTGTCGGTAGCGCTGGATGGCGGGCAGATAGCCGAGATGGTGGGCCTGCAGGGTGAGGAACCAGCACTGCGTCTGGAAGTTGGCGTTCTCCACGGGCTCGCTGAAGTCGCGGGCCAGGAAGTTGCGGTACTCCTCCTCGCTATACCGGATCTTCGTGTCCTGCTCGATGTTCACCAAGGAGTTCTTGTAGTAGTGGAAGTTCGGCTCGATGCGGTCCAGCTTGATCTTCACCGACAGCTGCTGCAGCACGCTCATCAGGTTAATCACAAATCCGTCTCTGGCTAGCAGCTTTTCGTCGCTGGCGAACTGCACGCGGCGATCGTTGTGGAGAAGAATTCTGGAGATGTACTCCAGGGTTTTGGGACGACTGCTGGCATTCACACACAGCGCGTGGAAAACAACGTGCAGGTGAGTGCGCATCGCGTGGAGTTCCTAAAATGATAGAAATTACAAATCAGTAAAGGTAGTTCGCACTTAAAAATAATCATTGATTATAAAGCATGCAATGTATAGTTTCAAGTTAAAGATAAATATTTTTTTCTTAATTTAGCTTTTAAGATTTAAAACAAACAAATTAGATGCAGTATAAATCATCAGAGAAGGCAAAACCAAAAGAGATTCTATCTCTGTTTGAAGACAAACAAGATAACCTTTAAAGGAAATACACTCACCCATCGCAAGCGGGAGCTGGCAGCATCTTCGAGCTTGTTCTTGGTGCTGAACTCCGCAAACTTGACGTTCTCCTCGGCGAACAGCGAGACGGAGAGAAAGGGTCCCAGGAAGCTGCACTTAACTATTTCCCGTCCGGAGATCTTTGTGCAGATGGGCGGCAGGAAGTTGGGCTGTCGGGACACGAGATCGGCGATGGGCCGCAAAGTGCCCACCTTGATGGTGACCAGCTTGGCCAGCCACTCGATCTGCTGCACACTGATCTTCGAGGTGCAGATGTTGCGCTGCATTCCGGCGAAGAGGCCGCGCAGCACCTGACTGAAAATGGTGTCGAAGGCATCGCGATCCTGGTGCGTGTGGGCTATCAGGTCGATGAGGAAGGACTCGCTCACCTTGTCCATGTACATCAGCTCCAGCAGAGTCGACTGATCCATGTGACCGTTGAGATTCTGGTGGATGCGATCGGTGAGCACGAGGACGGCCATGCGCATCACCTGCTCGAAGGCCAACTGCAGTGCTGGCTGGGTTTGTGCCGTCTTGCGGGCGCACTCCTCCTGGTAGTTCTGGTAGCAGCGAATCAAGTAGAGCATCACGCGGTGCTTGGTGGTGGTCACGATGCTAAGCACCGATGGCGCCACGCAGGAACCTCCAGCTTCGCTGCTCGCCGTCTCCATCGGGCCAGGTGCTCCGCCCGCTGCTGTTTCTTCGGTGGCTGCTGCTCCACCGGTGGCCACCGCATTGGCCAGGATCTCCTGCACCTCCGTATCGTCGGATTTAATTTTCTTGGCCGAGGAGAACTCCTTATCGTCCGTCAGAGTGGAGCCGCCTTCTCCTTCGTTTAGCTCATCGTTGTAGATCTTTAAAGCTGCCTCCATCAGCACATTGGACACCATGCACTCGAAGTCGAATCGACGGCTGGGCTGCTGCTCCAGGAAACTGGCGCTTTGGGCACAGATGATGGAACCGCTGCCGTACTCATTCCACGTAGCATTCAGCATGCGGGAGAGCAGCTGCTCGTTCTGCTCTTCCGCGCTTTTTGTTGGACTGCCCAGAGACTCGATGGCCACTTCTTGATTGCCAGCGGAGATCTTGCAGCTCTGCAGCACACTCCTCTTGGTGCCCTCGTTGGCTGGCAGACTGAGGGCCGGAGTCATTTCCACATCCTGCACTGGAGTCGAGGCCACCGACTTCATCTCCACATCCATGTCCGGTTTGCCGCTCAGCTCCGGCCAGGCGGGTGCTGGTGTGGGCATGGACACCTCCTTGTCGCTGGGCGTGGCCTCGCGCACCAGTCGAGACTCGCTAGAGACATTGGTCTGCTTCCGAGGCGCCTTCTCGGGACTGGGAGTCAGTGGCAGAGCACTCTGAATTCCGCTTCGGGCAGCTAAAGTCCGAAGGCGACGGGCGCGCATCTGTAAAGTGGAGAGTAATTAGATAATTAAGTTCCATTATTTTTAATTACAGCTGGGTTACATTTCCTTAGCTTAAGCTAAGTTTTCTAGCTCGAATATTTTAATAATACTATGTTGAGTTCAATCCAAATACTGTACTTTTTGGTAAATTTAAATACTTGCCTCTTCGGCGGACAATTCGGTGACCACAACTGTTTCCGCCGGCTGTTGTGGCTGCTCCTCGGGTTTGTCCTCCTCTGGTTGTTGCTGCTGATTTAAAATCTGCCCCTGGGGCAGTTGATCCTGCTGATCCTGCTGGTCCGACTCATGATCCTCATCCTCCTCCTCCTCCATGGGCTTTTGTGGCGGCTCTTCTTCCGGCATTTCTTAAATGCGTTGCGAAACAATGCGCAGTTGCTGCGAAATGGTTTTTCCTCTCTGTTTTTGTTTGTTTGTGGCGTAGTTTTTCCGCCGCTTCTTCTCCTGCAAAATCGAGAGGCAATGATGTGGGTTAATGAACCAAACAAAAGCACGCGCAGTCGACAAATATATAAAAAATAAAAAGAAAACAAAGTCCAGCGGTCAACGTCAAGTTCAAGAGGAGACAAGAACCAGATGGATGGGATTGGTGTTACATTTTTCTTTGTGATCAACTACGCACTAGGAGGTTGCACACACATATCATATCGTATCGTATCTGGGGACCAGGACAACTGACCTGCCACAAACTCAAAACGAAAATCAGATGCAGATCGCCCGAGGTTGACAAAAAATGCACGGCTGCAACTATTTATAGAAGGGGAGATATCGAGCAGGGCGTACTGCAAGGTGCAGTAAACAATATCATAACATATGCGAATCGGACTGGGAAACCGACCTTATATAATAGATGCCGATCGGGGCGGAATGACCAATAAATAGACCATACTCCACTCCCTCGGAAAAGTAATCTGCGCATTTGAGGAAGTGCACCGCATCGAGATATATAATCGGGAGCCATATAATAAGGGTAAGTGAACGAGCGAGTGGGGAATCGGGGGGGTGCGCTGGGCATGTAGGTGCACTTACCTGAACCTCCGAACCAACTTTCACCTGCTACGAATCAAATGGTTTTAGTTCCGGCTCTAAGCTATTGCATTTTACTGCCTGGCCCTCGAATTTCTGTTCTGTTTGGCGATTCCCGAAACAAACGACGACTGGTGACCACGCAAAAAATTTCTCTTTTGTTCCGATTTGAGGACGGGTTATCGGGCTGCGGCTGGTCTGTTTCTCTTGTTAACAACCGATGGCGGCAGATATCGGAACAGGTGAACCACTAGCAACGCACTGGGCTCAGCAATTGTGATTCTCGTCCGCACCGAACTTAAAATAAATTAGTTTTAATTTTTGGGTTTCGCGTCGTCGAACTGAATTTCAGTTTGCCCTTCTGCACGACGGTCACACTAGTCGCTGGTGCGGAGTCAGCTTAGTACGGTGGTCACATTTAGAGATGAAACGATCGCCGATAGCTGCTTTAACCCTTGATGGGGCAACGTTTCTTCGATTCATCGGTGAACACTTTAAAAATTCGGGTTTCTTTTATTCCAAAATTAAGAGAAACTCACGGTACAGAACAAAAAGATACAAAGAGTGCAGAAGCAAAATTTCAAAGTAGAATGCTACTTACAGTGGAACCTAATATATTAAAAATGGCAAATAAAATGATTTGTTAATTAATTATTTTTGTTCAACAAAAGAAAATCATTCATTTACTTCATTTTACAAAAATGTTACAATTATGTGGAACCTAATTAAGAACCTATAACCTAAGTAGCCGCTACTAGAAATCCGTGTACCGCTGTCGAAGGCTCTGGCGTTTGGCAACATGGTGCATCTGCAAATGAATTCATCAAATTTAATAACTTGTATTTAAATGCCATCAAGTAGGGTTTAGTCTTACCAAACGCTGTTGGCGTCGTTCGCGATTCTTTTCGTAGGCCTTGAGCAGCGAAGGACACGTGCGCCTAACAAACTCCTCAGATTCCCAGAAAAGCCCGCCTTGGTCCTCGTAGCGCAATAGGAATTCAATCTGTAAAAGAACGAAAATGTTAATATTTGGATCTTTATGAAAATAATGCACTCTAAAATCGGCCTTAAATTTGTCTTGTCTTAACTACAATTTAAACTTGCCTTGCCGGCCTTGGTCTCCTTGCCCAGAATGCGTTCGATGCCGTTCTCCGGCTTGATGCGTCTGAAGAAGTCTTCGTCGTTGTACTCGGTGACCACCTCTTCGCCTACTTCGTTGAGCATGTCTTCGATGCTGAGCAGTCCGTCCTGCAGCCGCTCGCCGTTCTGCTCGACGCGCTGCACGAAAGTCAAAGGGTGCTGCTTGAGGTAGTCCTCCGCCTCGGCGATCGTCTTGGCCAAATCGAACTCCTCCTCCGGCTCCTCCTCCTCCTCGTCATTATCCTCGTACTCCTCCTCCTCACCGGCCTCGCCATCCAGCTCCATGCCTTCGCCATCACAGTTGGCCCCGCTGGGCGAGGAGGCCCGCTTCGTCTGCGTCGCGGAGCGTCGCTTCTTCTTCACAAAATTGCCACCGTCGTTCTCCTTGACGTCCGGATGAAAGCGAACCTTTTTCACGCGAACGGACGACGCGGCGGAGTCGGTGTCTGTTGTGGAATTGTTGGGCGTCTGCGGGTCCAGGAGACTGCTGCTGCTGGAGGCGGACGTGGATGCCGAAACCGAGGCGCCGGAACTTTCGGCCAGCGTGGTTTCCTTGAGGTTTTGTGAGATTAGCTTGACTTTCGTCTCGAAGGCAGTGCAAGAGGAGGAGGAGGATGTGGGCGAGTTGCCGGCCGGATGTTCTGGCGGGGATTGGCTGCTCTGCGGACTGTCGCCTTCGCCCCGTGTCCCTGCTTCAGTCTTTTTATCCGTTTGCTTTGCGGCTCCCGACTCAGGCTCCGCCTCCGGCCCTTTGCCCATCGACTCGGCAGCGGAATCCCGGCTGCAGTTGTCCAGGTCCGCGGGTGAGGACATTGCGTCCACCGCACTGGAGTCCCCCGTCGTCTCGACCATCACACACTTGATTTGCATAGATTTGTCCAGCGAGTCACTGCCAGCGGAGTCATCGTTGGACTTGGTATCCATGTGGCTGCGGCTCCGGCTCCTGCTGATCTCTCTGTTGGCTCTCTGTCGTTTTCGTATGGCTGCTACAATCCAATTTTGGCTAAATGCATCGCAATTCAATAATAATCTTTCATCAAAACTTTGTTGCTTTCCCTCAGTGTGGCCGTCGCTCGGTTGTTTAATAAAACTGTCCGGCTGTAAAAATAATACTATTGGCTTGCTTAATATACTAAAGAACATACAGTTAAAACCAGTGACTTTAAATTTGTATTTTTGGGTAACTGAATTTAAAAATGATAGCCGTTAGAATTTAATTCCGTTGACTAATAAACAAAAAAAAAAAAATTTCATTTTATTAGTTGACGTACCCATGTATTACTTGTATGAGTAGTATTAAATAACTTTAACATTGAAAACAATAATAAGCTGAAGTTTCGACCGTTAGTTTAAAAACTCTTTAAAAAATTAACCGCATAAAGGTATTTGTACTTCAAAATAAATACAATTAAAAATTTAATAATAAAAATTGTACCTTTTTGTTATTAAAATCTTAAAAAATGTGTTTTAGTTTTAAACTGTTTTGATTATAACTCATAAATAATTATGTTATTATTTGAAGTGAAATTTATTGTGATCGATAAGAGCCCTTTTAATTTAAAAATAAAAAAAGGTAAGAACCAGTTATGTATATAAAAAAACGTTCAGTTGTAAATGCAACTTGTGTATTTTTTATTTGATTCTTTATTAACAATTGTTTTTTGTACATTTTTCTCTGTTGTAATTTAATGCCGTAAATCTTCGGGTGTGTTGGTGTGTGTGTTTAAGTGTTGTGTGTCTGTGTGCGTAGTAAACAAAACTAAGTTATTTACACTAGCTTTAAGTTTAAATGTAGTTCAATGTTAAGGACTATTTAATATATAATATATTGTGTGTATAGATATCGGTATCGATATAAGATGTATATATGCATATCAAAGGCGGTTGCATTTAAATCCAAGTAGGTTTCTGTATACTTATCGCTTGTTAGCGTTATCTTCTGGTTTTGATTTGCTTTGTTTAAATGTTTCTTTGCTTTAAACTATTTAAATATGGCCCCGCTATTCCACATGTGTTCTTTTCGTTTGCTTACAGTTTATGATAACATTTTGTTTGTAGTGTTTACGCCTACACTGTGCTACAAAGACGCTGTTTTTGTTTTTTCTTTTTTCGGAAAACAATTGTTGTAATGATAAGGACAGAACTAAAAACTAACAACTAATTTTAACCGTGTGCTGCACTTGTACAAAATAATATTGCAAATATTGCAAAAATTTCCCTATTCTCTGTTGATTTTTGAATTGCATTTAAATTGTGTTTCTTTTCGCAGCAGCTGTGTGTAAATATATATGTTTAGATTTATATAGTATGTATATAGTACCATATTCATTGCATGATATACGCGCTCTTCTTGTTTTATTTTTGCATTTACAATTATCAATAATCACAGTTCCCATTCAAAAAATTAAACAAATTAATTGTAGCAAGACTTAATTTTGAATTTATACTTTTCCTATACAAAGTTGATTTCTTTGAAACGCTTTTAGATCTTGCTCTGGTTGTTTTAGGTCATCTTGTTACATATTTAGCCAATGGTAAATATAGGTCCTACATTTAGGCATACGCTTATAGGTTTCCCTCTGATAATTTACATTACAATTAATTTAAATTACATTTTGCACCGTTTTAGCAAGTAATTACAGTAAGAACTGAAGAAATTCCCGTGTGAAACGTAACGTATTCGAATTTTGTTTTGATAAATTATGGTTAGACTAACTAAGGGCTTAACTAAGTTTTAAGTGCAGGAACATGTTCCAACTAGGTGTGTAAATATGTGGGTGTTAGTGACAATAGAAATCCTTAAAGAGTGCCTAAAACAAATCCCGAACTCCACTAACTCGTACCCCGAAAAAAACTCAAAAAAACATAAGCAACAACAATAAGGTATTAACAAAACCAAAACTCGCTTAAGGACTAAACTTAACGGTAAAGTGATTAAACGTACTAAAAGATTCGACCTTTCTAGGGGGTCTACTTTCTGGAAATGACTTTGCCCGTCTTGGCATTGACCAGTATCATTTTGTCCGGTGTAGTGGGTCGATCCTGCACAGGTGACTCCTCCTGCGGGTTGGCACTTCCCCGCAGGATCCTTCGCCGCAGCCGATCGCTGATATTCTCGCTCTTCTGCGAGTCCAAGGTGGCCTCCTCCTGCGATGGTTTCACACTCAAGCCGCCTTCATTCTTGTAGAGAATCAACTTGGTGCTGGGCTTCTTGGCTGGAGGTTCCTCCACCGCCTCGTTGGACGGCTCCTCATCGGGATTGCTCTGCTCCTGCTGCACATTGGCGTTCAACACGTTGTCCTGGTTGTTATTGTGCTCGGCCACCTGCTGCTCCTTGGTGCCACTGGCCTCCTCCGGCTCCTTCTCCACACTGATCTCCAGGCGGTCGTAGCAGGTGTAGAACTCCACGGACTTCAGTTTCTCACTGGCATTGAAGTGCAGGGCCGTGTGCTCCTCCATTTCCGCCTCCTCACTGGCATAGTAGTCACAGTGGGCACACTGCGGGGCGCCCGGCGGCGGAGGATTCACGCAGGCGTGCTTCTGGAGGTGCTGCAGCAGCTCCTCGTGCTTCTGCGTCTCGAAGGGACAGTGGAGACAGCGCTCGGGTGCCGGCGTGGATTGCGGCATGTCCACGGACCCGGCATCGCTGCTGGCATCCGCCGCCAAGTCACTGGTGGCCACCGAAGCGGAAGTGGACGGGGTGGAGCTGCTCCTTCGCTCTTCATCCTCCTCGGGGGCTTCCTCCTCCACCTTGGTTGCTGGGGTTTCCCTTGGAACGACTTGACCACCTCCCGATTCCAGTTGCTTCTTCAGCAGAGAGTTCGCGTTGTCAAAGCTTCCGGTGGAGGAACTCACACCTGCTCCACTGGATTGCTGCAGAAGCTGCAGGCTGAGTTCGTTGTCCACCACCCAGATGGTTTCCGGTCCGGTCAGCTGGAGAAGTTTGGGCGACGGATACTCGACGTCCTCCTTGCAGTTCTTGTACAGCTGGTGGCACTTCTCCTGGTAGTGCGACATGTGCACGGCTCGGTGCAGCTGGAGCAGGGTCTCCTCGGCGGTGCGGTACTCGCAGTAAGCGCATACATAGCCCTGCTCCTCCAGCTCCTGGTCGTTGTGGGCCAGCAGGTGCTGCTCCAGCTCCTGCTTGGCGTTCCGCTCGTCGTTGTGCTTCTGGGCGAAGCGAGCCGGACACCTGGGACAGTAGCTGATCAGCTTGTACTGGTACTCCGGCGGCAACTGCTGCGGATTGAGCTCCGCATCCGAGGCGGCATCCAGTTGGAGTTGCGACAGATCAATGGAAAGTGGCGTGGAGGCGGGCAACTGCTGCACCTGCTTGGCAGCTGCCGCCAGTTGGAAGGCCATACTGAAGTCCAGTCCCAGGGAGGAAGCTCCTCCTCCTCCTGCTCCGCCACTCACTGCGGATCCCGCCATCTGCTGCTGGTGGACACTCCGCATGTGGCTGCTCAGGTGCTGCTTCTTGGCGCACACAAAGGTGCACAATCTGCATTCGTACTGCGTGGGTTTGTGCAGCGATACGTGGTAGTTCATCTGGGATTTGCTCTCCGAGATGTACGGACACACCGGACACTTCTGCTGCTTGCTCTTGGTGTTGTTGTTGTTGATATTGTTGCTGGTCAAACCGGAGGTGGACTGTTCCGTGGAGGAGGGCAGCCGGGTGATCTCGATCTGGTCGTTCTGCTGCAGCTGCAACAGCTCCTCGGCGCTGCTGCTGGCCACCACAGCCTTGCAGGCAGCTGCCCAATAGGCCGCCGCCGCCTGGAGATCCTGCTGGGTGTTGGCCGCATTCACCACGGCAGCCGCGCTCGCCGAGAGCGGCGAGTGGAGGAGCTGCTCCAGCTGCTTGGGGGTCATCAGCAGCTGGGCGGTGTTGCTGTTGCTCCCCGCGTTGATGGTGGACTTCTGGACACTGCTGTGGTTGGGATTCGACGGGATGTGGGTCTGGGATTCGTTGCTGGCACCGGCTCCCAATGGACGATAGATGGGTGGTGCATTCGCCGAGACACTGGCTCCTCGCTCAAGGGTCTCGATCCGAATATCCCCGGAATGCTTTAAGCGACAATGCCGCTGTTTGGTGAAAGATCAAAAAGAAATATATAATTAGTATGGAATATGGAAATGAAATTCATAGGGTGTCCTTTTGTTTTTCTATGTATAAATGTTATGTGTATGTGTGTGTGAGTGTTTATGTATTGTGTTTCCCCTTTTCTGGGGGAAGTAATACCATGAGTTTAGCCCAATCGAAAACCCTCGCACCGTAATGGGAATCCCTTAAAGGTTAGCTTTGTTTTATATTTTTCATGGGTGTCATGGGTTTGGTTTTTTTTCATGATTTTGGATTTATGGATTACACTTAGTTCGAGAGGTAGAGAGAGCAAGCAAGACTTTCACCAATGATTTTCTTATAGTTAATTATCGTATATCATCTAGAGTACATCAAAAGCAAGACCAGACACCACACATTTAAACAGTCAGAATGGGGATAATAAAAACGTAGGGGGTTCAAAATCGACTTTGCATATTTACCAGCGCTGCGCAGGGACTACGGACACAGATGGAGTGGTGAGATGGGTGGCGGATAGTGTCGGATCGGGGACTGCAGATTGTCTAAGTTGAGTGCTAAGGCTATCAGGGCGATTCTCTAGCGGGTTTTCTCTAATCTAGCTAGACTCAGCTAGATGTTTAATCTAGCTACTCTTAGCTAGATTTTTAATCTAGCTAGACTCAGCTAGATTTGTCAAAACGAATGTTTCTTCTTAAAAACTTTCATAATGAAAGTCACTTAGGATTGGTCAGTACGGAAATGTAAAGCATTGAACTAACGATCATTTATGATTTCGAGTCATCTAATTAAACGATAAATTGAGTAACAGTTATAGCCAAAATGAGAGCTAAACTATCAAAGGAAATCTTTTAGCATACAGGAAACATGTAAACTATGTAAACATAAAGGTGTTCTATAAAATTAATTAAAAGGCTAACAACTGACCACATTCCGATTTCCTGATAGAAAAAGATATATACTTATTGCATGCTAAAGTTTTTCAAGATCTGTAGGAGTATGTTGTTGATGTAAATAACTCAATAAGGGGAACCTGGCTTAAAAAACTCAGTTTAATGGGCCATATTGAAAGGCTATTATTTTCTAAAAATTTATATCTTTACCAGTCCTACAATTCCTACAATAATGTAGGAATCAATATCAATGTCAGAAGTTTACCCCTTTCAAAATAGTTAAATATGATTTTTGAATACCCCTAGATTATTCAGGCTTCCTCGTCGCGTTGTGTTCAAAAAACGAAACCTTCGGGGATTTGGCGGCTCGTTTCGGCTTTTCAATGGGACAAAACACAAAACCAATAAGTGCACTGGGCCCATACCTGGATGACGTGCTTCCAATTCGAGACCTGGTGGCAGTGGCCGCAGCGATAGGGCGACGGCTCGCGGCGGTCGCCATCGGAAATGGTCAGGAGGCTGGGACTACCTGGACTATGGCTATGGAACCGCGTCGTCTGTGGTTGCGGCATCTGCACGGCGGGCTGTCCTTGTGGTAGAAAGGAGGAGCCGGATGCTCCGGTGGCGGCGGCCAGCGGTGGCGGCGGCGTCGGTGACGATGCGGAGGAGGAGGAGCCGGCGGCCGAGGAAGTGGAGGCCACCGAAGACGATGACGACGACGAAGACGCGGACGACGAGGACGACGATGACGAGGGAAAGGAATTGGAGTTGGCGGTGTTGGGATTGGCTTTCGGGTTAGTGTTTGTGGTGTGGACATGGGTTAGACCCGCTGCCAGGTGGTAACCATCACCGGCGATGAGTGGAGAATGTTCATTTTGGTGGTTGAGGTGGTGGTTTAGGTGGTTGTGGTGGGATGAAGTGGTTGATGAGCTACCCGCGCCCGTTGGATGAGCAGTAGAAATAGGAGAAGGAGTGGTAGTTACTGGCAAAGGTGGTGAGTTGGTGGTTGTGGTGGAGTTGGTGGATGAGGCGACGTAGGTGGCATCCTGCCGAAGGAGTCCGTGGCCCACAACCGAGTTACTGTTAGCGTTAGGATGATGAGCTCCATTTCTGGCACTGCGCGGTGATGTGAGCAGATCCTGCAGCGATCTGGCGTGGTCTTTGGTGGTGGAACTAGTGGTGCTAGCTGCAGTCGCAGTTGTTGTTGTTGTTGTGGTGATAATGGTGGTATTGGTGGCTTTGGTGGTGTTCGGCGACGTCAGACTGTCGGCACTTGCCTCGTTTTGACTCGCTTTCTGCTCACCGTGCTCTAAAATGGAGGCGGCACTGGCTTTCGTCGTATTGGCTTGTGGCTTCCCGCCCGCCAACGCCAAAGCAAGTCCGCTCAGAGCGCTGGCGTTCGGCTGCACCTCCTGGATGGCCCGCTGCAGCAGCCCGGCCGAGATCGCCGGACTCGTGCCGGCCGATCCCGAAACCGAACCGGACACCGATCCGGATCCGGGCGACTGCGACTGCGATTGGGCCTGCGACAGGCACATCGCCGAGAAGACCTTGCTGATGTAGAACTGCGGATTGCCGCCCACCGACACCTGCAACGGCGACGTCGTGGAGTTGGCCCCGCTCGACTTCGGGTAGCCGGCGTCCTGGTAGTGGATCTTCACGTGCGCCAGCACTGCGTCCCGGTTCTGGTGGCTGTTGAAAGGGAATAAAGATTAACTTTTGGTGATCCTTAGCATATTTATCGTTGTATGTTTTTTATATGCTCAATAAGTTTTTAAATATATGAATTCAATATTAATAAAATTTTTATTAAACTGATTCAACTGGTGAAATTCCCTTAGAGAGTTCAACAAAACCTTTTAAGATCATTTTGAAACTCCTTTAAAATTGCTTTGGGAATATTATAATGAAACTAATCACCAAGAATAATTATAATTTGAACAATTTTATTGTTAAACAAAATAATTCGAAAAATGCTATAAATTACTAAAAAACAAATGGATCTAAAAAAATTTAAATATAATTGCGGTGATCATTTCAAAATTTTATTATATGTATTTTTAATTTACCAAGTAAATATATTGTGTGTAAATTTATTTTTCTCCAGAAAAATATTCAAAAATTTCTAAAGATTTTAAACCGATTAAAAAGGTTCCAAAAAAGGATGCAACAAATTGTTTTAAATATATTTATAGACCAATTTGAAAGAGGTTTGAAATCATTTCAATTTACCATTCCTTACTGGTTCAAGTGAATCTTATATATTTAACTTAAAGTTATCATAAATATCTCAATGATAATCCCCCACTCACCCGAAATTGCACTTTCGGCATCGGTAGACGGTCCTCTTCTCGTTGCCCTCCTGGTGCACCTCTGTGATGAGGTCGTCACTGGGTTTGCCCTGCATCTGCAATCCAGAAGGCTGACCTGGTCGCTTCACCGGCGAGATGGTCACCGAGGGCGTGATCATGGTGGACTGGTGCTCCTTCTGCTGCTGCTGCTGGTGCTGCTGCTGCGCCATCGCTGCGTTCATCATGGTGGCCAGCAGAGGAATCCGGATGAGGTTGTCCGCCAGATGGGCGTCATCCAGGACATTCGGCTTGCTGGGCGCCACCGGCTCCAAGGTGATGTCCTGCCCGGCAACCGAACCAACCTTGGCAAAGTCCTTCAAGAAGGCCAGCGAGGCCACCTGGTTGGGGGTCATCTCGCCGGACTTCATCAGCTTGGGATCGCCGTCCTCCTCGGTGACCTTCATCAGGGTGATGTACTTGTTGTACTTGGTGTAGTTCCTGCGGCCCGTCTCGTCGTTCATCAGGACCTTGGCCGTCTTGTGCGAGGGATCGCGGATGGTCTTCAAGCGGATGTGCTTCGTGATGTCCCAGCGCCAGTTGGAGCGGTACGAGCAGAGGGAGCACTCGAACGGCTTCTTGTTCAGGTGGCCTACGATGTGGACGTGGAAGCGGGAGGCCGTCGAGGCCCAGAAGCTGCAGTGCGGACACTTGTACACCTTCTTCAGGGACGAGTTGGCTGCCTCCTCCTCGGGCGTCATCTTTTTGGTTACCTGCAGTGCGTGAGAGAGTCAAATTTCATTTTGACGTGGCATATGCTCGTGCTGGGGTGGATCGGGGTTCTTTAAGAAATAATACCTAACAACTAAAGCACTAAAATAACATAGGGATTTATATTTAAGTATTTCCCCAATTGGAGAGCCTTTGCTATGAATTTTTTACTTTTGAATAAAATATTCAAAATAAACCCTTCTAAAATAAATAAATAGAGATATGATCTCTTTTTATAGGCAATTATATCTGAGTTAAGTAATAAGGATTTCTTCACCTTCATATAAATAAATAAGTTGTATTTTTATTTTCGATCTCAAGATATAGGTACTACTTTTTAATAATTTGTGCTACCTTCCAAAATACTTTTAACATTAATATTCCATTTTATTTCTCATTGTTTGCTATTGAAAATTAATTCTATCCTTTTTACAATTTCTTTAAATGAGCCAATATTTAATAACTTTGAGTATTTTGTATTAAAAAATTATAATTTAATTTATAATTATAAAAAATATATTTATCCAAATATCTTTAACATTGTAGGGAAACACACCTGAGAGAAATTTAAAATGCTTTCTAGGAAAAACTTATCCTGATATCCTATAATGGCAGTAAGGTTATTTACTGAGTCTCTGTATCATTCTCTGTTTGCAAACCTACTAAAAATTAAAAACCAAAGAACTTAAAAACTCATTTTCGGAACTCTTGTTTGTGGGATCGGTGCTGGGTGGACTCCGGACTTACCTCGCCGTATCCGGGCGCCGTTTCCACGCCGTAGTAGCTGTTCTCCTCGTTGCTGGCCACTTGGCTTCCTGCGGGCGACTTGACCAGCGAGTGGCTGTGGTTCTCCTGCTGCAAGGAGGCGGCTGCGGCGGCGGCGACGATCTCCTTGGTGGCCTTGTTCCAGATGCAGACCCTCTGCTGCTGGACGGCCGCCTGCTGCTGGAGAGCCTGCGGATCCGGTCGCCGATCGCCGCTCTCCCCGGAATTCGAGTCGTACATCTCGTTGGCACAGCGGATCGCCTCGACGCACTGCTTCAGATGGTGCAGCAGATCCGTGGAGGACTTGCAGCGGTGGCGGCAGTGCTGGCATCTCGTGGATCCAGTCACACTGAGATTCAGAGCCGAGTGCGAGTGGTGATCCTCGTCGTCCTCGTCGATCTCCAGCCGATCATCCGCATCGTCCTCGTGCAGACCGGCATCATCGTCGTCGATTATCACTGCGGAGGCGTGGCAGCTCTTGCCGTGGATGATCGACTCCGAGAGGCACTTGGCCACGTGGCCGCACTGGCACACCAAATTCTCGTGCTGCGTCCCCATCTTCATCTTCTCCAGGAAGCTCGACCGCTTGGTCATCTGGCTGCGCGTCGAGTTCTGCGAGGCGACCGTCGTCGCCGGCGATAGTTGGGGCACATCCGACTTGTCCATCATCTCCGAGATCTGCTCCTTGTTGAAGAACATCGAGGCGATATCTGTGAGGGAACTGCGCGCGGCGTTCGTCTCCTTTGACAGGTTCAATACGCTGAAGGGAAAAGAAGGGAATTGTCTTTAAGTGTGGGTTTTAAATTAGATGAAATAGATGAAAAAAAGATAAATTGTCTAGATGTATGATTTTTATAATGGTATATAAAAATAAATAATTTAAAATTTTTAAAGTATACTTTTAGGTGTGGATTTAAACGGTTTATAATCTCAAAGAGTCATACGAAGGTAATAATATTAATAATAGATATATACGCATTTAATTTAGTACAAAATAAAATAGTATTGCTTCACTTACTCCTTGGCGCCCTTGGGGATCGGGATGAGATTGGGCACGGCTCGCTGGGCCCTGGGCGTGGTGGTGCCCACACTGGAGGTGTCCGAGGAGCAGCCGCCCTTCTGCGACAGATCCGTGGGCTCCTCCTCGTCGTCGTACTTGCCCCGCTTGCCATAGTGATGGACCGGATGATCCTCGCCGCCGCTCATCGCATCGTCGGGATCCTCGACGCCATCGAGTTCATCGTCCACATTGTTGTTGTTGTACTGATCCTCCAGCTCGGCGGAATCGCTGAGGAAGTCCTCGCACATCTCGCTCGCACCCACTTTGTTCTGGCGCCTCGGCCAAATGGAACCGGCATTGCCCACCGGCGGCACATGGTGGTTCATCTCGTGGACCGTCAGAGATTGCTTGATGTCCGCCGTGAAGTCGCAGGCGGCACACTTGAAGGCGCCGGCACCGCCGTGGTTCTTCATGTGCCTGTCCAGGTTCCACTTGTAGGGGGTGCGGAAGTCGCAGGTGACGCACTTGATCATCGGCATCGAGTGGTACTTCACGTGCTTGCTGAAGCGCGCCTTGATGTGGGTCACATAGCTGCACTTGTCGCACCGGAAGAACTTCGTCTTGCCGTGCTCGGCCAGCTCGTGGGCCCGCAGCTGGGTGCGATAGAGGGTGGTGAACTCGCAGGCGCTGCACTTCAGCAGCCGGTTCTGCGGCTCCTCCCCGTTCGAGGGGGGCGTGGCCGAGCCGCTGGTGGGCGACGGGGTGGGCGGTTCGGCGGGCGATTGGCGCTCGTAGTCGCGGAGCACCTGCATCTGTCGCTCATACGCACTGGTGGCCACCAGCTCCAGTTCCCGCTGCTCGCGCTGCTGCTCCTCGCGCTGTCGCTGCTTGAAGGCCTGAATGTCCCGCTGGAGTTTCTCCTCCTGCAGGAGGAGCTCCCGCTTCACCTGCTCCAAAGTGGGAACATCTGGCACCGAGACTGCCAAACTCTGACCACCCATCACACCCACACTCTCCTCTAAACGTCGCTTCCTCGCCTCGCGACTCATTCCCCCGCTTGCCACGCGCCTGGCCATGGCCACTGGGAATCCCGTCCGTGCAGCCGTGCACCATCTTCATGTGCCGCACCAGCTTCTGGAAGTGACGCGAGGCGTACAGGCACAGCTTGCACTTGTTGATCACGATCTTCTCGCCGTGAACGTCGCGCAGGTGGGTCAAGTGGTAGCGGGGATTCTGGGTGAAGTACGCGCAGTGGTTGCAGCTGTAGTTCCTCTTGATCTTGCACTGCGGCAGACCCTCCTCCTTGGCGTCCAGACCGCTGATGACCTGTTGCTGTTGTTGCTGCTGCTGCTGTTGCTGTTGCACGCTGTTCACCACTGCAACTGCTGCTGCCGCTTGCTGCTGCTGTTGCAGCAACTGTTGCAGGTGGTAGCGCTCCACATGGCGCTCGAGAAGTGAGGATCCCGCTTGTGCGGCCGCCGCATTGTTGCCCGAGTTGCTCGACATGTGCGACGTGTTGGTGGGGGCGTTGTGGCTGCCCTGCTCCGTGTACAGCTGGTTGCCGCTCACCACGCTCCGAACGATGAGCGTGTCGCCCGAACGCTGCACCATCGACGGCAGGTCCATGGCTCCCTGATCCTGCGCGCTCTAAGGTGTCCTGGCAACTCCCTCAAGACTGGCTAGTGGTTAACTGCAAGGAGAGGAAGGATATAATACAGTTAGTTGGGGTTACCGAAAGCTTCACTTAGATTAAAGGCAGCTTTAATATGATAATAAGTTTCCTTCAAAAATAACCAATGGTTATCAAAAATGTTTAACAATTATTTTGTAAGGAACTCTTACTTATATTCAAAGTATTTATGAGTATTATTTAAATATTTATGAAAAAAGTACATAATATTAATGAAAAAAACATAGTTGCAATGTTGTTTTTTTTAAATCCTCAGGTTGAATATAAATGCAATGCTATAATAAAAATCAGTGTATCTTATAAATGTAATCTTACTAAATTCAAGCTTTACTTGAAGGCAAGAAAAACTCTCAAAGTTTGCTACTTTTTTGAGTAGTTTTAAGGATTATTTTTGAGACAAGGGTAATCCAGCTTGTGTTTGTACACTATGTTCTTTACATAAGTTTCTGCAGATGACAGCATGAATAGTTGTGTGTCCAAAAAATATATACTACCCTCTTAATCCAGGGTGTCAGAAAAGAGAATAAACTGAGGAAATTAAATCCCAAATGCGATACAAAGGCTGCCTTAAATGCAGATTTCAACACTTGCCCAACTCATTACACATACATTAACACACATGAATATCCAATGTGTATGTGTGTGTGTGTGTCAGTCTCATAAATATTTCAGCGCTTTCCACCCCACGTTTATCTGGAAAAGTTGGTTCAGCTTTCCCCAACTTCCTTGGCAGGATATTAAAATGAAATGTTTTCTGTCCGCCAAAAATGCGACAAAGTAGCGTAAAATCAACAGAGCGTCAGGGAAATTGGGCAAGGGAAAATGGGAAATCGTTCGAGAGTTGTGACAGGAAAACGAACCCTAAGAGCCGCCGCAAATCTCTGAGGTAAATGTATTGTAGTTTGTGCGTAACACAAATCCATTTTGGGGCTAATTGGAGTTGGCCAAGTTGAAAAAGGGAAGTGGAGGATAAGTTTGAGTTGGCGAGCTGGAAATTTTCAATGCTCCCACGCACAAACACACCCAAACACACACACTCAAAACAAATTGAGGGCCAGGATCCGATGAAGGTCAACCTTTTTGGGAGCCACCGTTTGCATGAGTGCACAGGAAGCGGGGAAAATTCGGGGAAAGCTTTCCCCACTTTCCCGGACCTGCGGCTAATCCTTGGGGTGTCGTCTTTATCAAATGCAGTAATTTTACTTTTTAAGCGTTTTTTATTGCCCATCCACACCACATGAGTGTGTGTGAGTGTGTTTGTGAGTGTGTGTGTTCCCCCACAGAAACCGCAATTGTGTTTTGGCTTTAAGAGGACTAGCCAAAGAAAAAAAAGAACAGTTTGATGGAGCATCTCTCTGGTGTCATCATTTAGGTAACATATTTAATTATAAAAAGAGATGGCGCGAGAAATACATTAAAATATACGTATATATCACACACACACATACACACACTTGTAGGCTGTGTACTCTTGACATTCAACACGTTTATTGTCGCAGAGCAACAAGCTCATCATCCTCGCAGCATCCTTTTCCCCACATCCTTCTTCTTTCTTCCTACATCCTTTATTCTACATCCTACAACCTCATCAGCGTCAAGGCGGAACTCATTAACAGAGAGAGAGGCGTCCAAGTGTGCGTGCGTGTGTGTAAGTGCGTTTGTGTGGGTGGCTGGGCGGTCCAGGGTTGGCAGGATAACACATGAAGGTGTACTGTCATGGAGTCACTGCTAACGATCACTGGTCCACACACCAAAGGTTAAATGTCACTTTGGGTTACTCGGGTCAACTTTAATTGCTGCACTTATTTTTCAAATTAGTAATCCGTTTTCAGACGTAGACTTTAAAATGAATTTAATTTTGTAGGTAAATGAAATCACTTTGTTGAGAACATTAATTTTGTAATTATTTTCATTGAATAAGTCTGCACATTATGACAATAGAATGATAAAATATAATAAAAAAGAAATTATTTTTCATATTATATGTTGTGACAATATAAAATAACCTTCTTAGGTAAATCTTTTATCTAAAAGGGAAATGAATAATGTTGTGATTATACAAGAACATATTATGTTTACTGCGCAAGAAATTTAAATTGTTCAAGTTTTTTGCTATAGCTTTTTTACTTATTATTCCCTTTTTTTGAAGAAACAAGAATTTAAATTTTCTTAAAGAACAATTGTGGGTCACTTTTAATTTCGGTTGCTTTCCATTTCGCATTTCTTTTTCCAGATTACATCTTATTTATTGTAATGTACATTAACCCTCCACCTAGTCACCGGTTCAGGTAGCCCTCGTCCTGGACAGGATCGCCTTATCCTTATGCATTGTTGACACCGCGCTTATTACGGAAGACGAAGGAGAAAATGCGTTGACGAGCTGCTTCCTGCTTATTTGCCTTTGTTTACGTTTTGTTTTTGTTATTTTTGATGTTTTCTTTTTTCTTCTCCCCACCCCCAGTTTTCAGTTTTTGGTCTGTTGTTTTTGTTGTTCTTGGCTGAGTAAATACACACACACTTACACACACACACATACAAAGCCATGGCGGCACGCAGACAGGCACACAACCTGCTTATGCGGCAACACGTTTCGCTTTGAAATTTTAATTTCTCACGCGACGCCAAAAAGTATGCTACAAAGGATAAGGCAAGGATGCGACGGGGGCGTAGGGGGCGGGGCCACGCACTTGGCGTTCCCAAGCTGTTTCCATTGTTTGTTCTTGTTATTTGTATTATTATTCTTGTTGTTGTTGTTGCTGTTGTGTTGTGTTTGGTGTGTTTTTCTTGCTGCTGCCGCTGCAGCCTACGCGGACTTAATTAATCTTGCTGTGGGCTTAGCCCGTTGTCCTGGCAATCCTCAGTTATCCTGGCCATCCCTTCCTTCTTTCCTTTTCCTTTTCCCTTTCCCTTCCTTTTCCTCCATTCCCCCCTTCGTGTACCCCCAATTTTGACGCTCTAAGACTTCTTTTCTTTGGCTTCGGTCTGTTTCTGTTCTGTTTTTGGTGATAATGAGGCGACGGTGGAACGCCTTTTTCCGCGGCTGCATTAAAAACTGTTGAGCGTTGGCGGTTTGATTGATGGTTCTCAGGCCCTAAGCTTCAAGCTGGTTGGGCTTTTCAGCTTTTTGTCATTTTAATTAGAAACCAGCCTGTTTTTTGTGCTCTTATAATTTTAAATTACCCAAGAGGACTTTTAAGGGGGCTTCTCATGTAAAATTTTAAAAAAATCGAAATTTTTTTTTTCATAAATCGATAGAATAACGTCTTGAGAGTATATTCCCGAAGTTTTATAACTCAACTCTCAATATTATGGAAAATATCAGTGATTGAACGAGCGCGCTCAAGTTCAAGACCCACACTAACTCAAAACTTTAAATCGTTTTTTCTCAAAACTATGTTTTAAAAAACGCGGTACACGATTACGGAAAAACTACTGAACCGATTTTTGATTTCTAAAAAGTGTTTTGCAGATTATACATTGAACGAGTGCGTGAATATCTGAAATTGTGAAAAAAAAGTTATTTTATACACTTTTCAGCCCAATTCAGCAAAAAAAGACGAAAAAATGGCACTTTTTTTTCAAGACGTGATTTTAATATTTTAAAATCGAATTTTTTGAAGTGGCTGACATTCACGCACTCGTTTGAACCTTGCTGCATACAAAAACATTTTTTTTGTTTTTTTCAGATGAAAACTTTTTGCTCCACACTGTACCGCAATAAGTCCCTCAGCCGCGTCGAGCCACACGCGACCTTGAATAAGTCCGCCATTTTGTTTTTTAGAACTTTCAAAAAATGTTTTTCTCATAGTTTAAACATGTCTTCAAATATGTGCAAAAAATTATTCGTTTAAGTTTTCATTTTCCAAGTGAAAAAAATTCCCAAAAAACCACTACTTTTTGGCATGTTACATGAGAAGCCCCCCTTAATAACTTCTATAAAGTATATTTTACAGGAGCAAATAATAGGCATTGCATAATTTAAGTTCTGTAGTAATGTGTAGCACATCTGTAATCTTTAATTTTAAAGAACATTGAAGAGTGAACTATTTTTGAAATTATTTGTTAGAGGAATCTTTTAAATTACTCTGTTCTGCTTTAAGAAATATATTTAGTGAATTTTATTTAGGTGTTTCCACTTTAAGTTACATTTCGAACTTCCTGCAAATAAATACGCGACTAATTATGACTTTAAATAAATTGTGACTCAAAATAATAACCTTTGCCATGGTTACGTATTGGCCCTGTTTTTAGGAAAATGAAATACAAGTAGAAAGTTGCTTATTAATAGTTGCATAGTTCGGCAATTTCAGGGACTTAAATGTCGCGCCAGTTCGGTTCGAAATTTTGCAGCTTAATTGGCACTGCAATCGTTAAGGTTCTGCGGACCAAGTGGCGCTCTGGTAGCCAATTTCCTTGTTTGGTCATTTGGTTGCGGGCCAGAAGGGGAGGGGCGGGGAGGCGGAAAGGCGGAAAGGGAAGTGGAGCGACAGGAAATGGGAGAACGGAAGCTGTGTTGTTGCTACAAATTAACTGCAAACTGCAGAGGAGTAAATAAGAAATGTGCCAGAGGGAAAAAGTCCGCTGCCATGCTCGACAAAATGTTTATTCATCATCAATTTGTTTATTCGATGGCAACTAACGCTTTCGATGCTCTTCACGCTGGCCATTTCGTTTAATTTCATGATCCTTTCGAGAGGAAGTTATCGCCTTGTTTACAGCACTGCGAATGGTTATAACAGACATCGTAAAAAAGACGAAATAGCCGGGAATAAAAGCAAAGTTAATAATTAACAACTTTCGCCAAATTTCCTCCTTAAACACAATTTGCCTCTTAAAAATTGGAACTCAAGTTGCCTACATTCAAGTTTTAAAACAAGTTATCCAGATTTTTGCCACTTCCCTTTTGCGCCAACTAAAGTTGGGGGGAGCGAAAAAGTTTTTGCCATTCTTGGTCTGGGTGTTATTACTTAAGGATTCTGTTGCTAAAACTAAAACGTCAA